CTTAGGAACCACTTAACGAATATCTATTCGTAATCCACAAAATTTCAAACAGCTTTAAACATAAGCTCAGTAACGGGGCGTAATTAGCGGACTTAATATAATATTAACAATGATTTAGAAGCGCCTGCGAGTGACATAATATTTTAACACTATCCACTAATACCTCTTGAATGTTTAATGTGGAAATTCCGCTGAAGCAGAACTTTTCTTTACGCACGACGCTTACGACACGATATTATGTCGTGAGGCTTAAAGAATATATTCCTTTTAATAATATCGACTATAAATATTTATATTTTAATATCAAGTACATATATAATATAGTATTCATAGCAATTATGCAAACGAGTCACGTAAAGCAATAAAAGAATATCATAGAATTTTGGACAAAATAAGAAAATTGTTACTAATAATAAAATAAAATTATTTTCAAAACCATTATAAAAAGAGCCTTCTATATAATAAATGGCACCTGTACATAAACATCGCGATGTAACGTATTTTAATTAAGATCACAGTCTTACAATCTGCGGGCTCAAGACTCATATAAAATACTCCAGCGATTTCACGTGACTTGTTATTTAATGCAAAATGTTACCTTTGTTCACACTTTTAGCATAAAATTATACAAATATGAACTTGTATGTTTTGACTCGGTCTCTGACGGCTTAAATGATTTAAGAACTTTTGAACGAGATGCTATAAAGTATAAACATTGTATTTTATATAACAAAAAGGTAAGAAAAACATGCTTATGCCTAATAGCAGTTATTTGTTGATTAAACACTCTTATTATTAATAACCCATACAATATTATTCATAAGGCATCCTTTTAGAGTCGATAATTTATATAGCATTCATTTATAGAATCAGATAACAGTTATTTGAAGTTTTTCCAATGGTTAAACTGCTTCTGGAATATGCTGTTCTAATGAAAAATCTGCCCGAGGTTTAACGTCAACTTAAAAGTTACATCTTAATACAAAAAAGTAGAGAAATTCTAGTATTTTATTATTGAAGAAGATCTCAATTAAAGGCTTATATAAACCACAGTAGAATCAATATTAGTATTGTTAATTGCCATCGGATAAATATAAATTTGATTCAGACTGTGACTTACCACAAATGAAGGGGAGAATCAGTACAAGGATTGGTGACATAAGACTTTAAATATAAACATGAATCTAAGTCAATGTGTGAACACACTGAACAAGCGAAACCAATACATTCGTTTCCACAAACCACAGAAGCTCGCTCGGGAACACAGTATATCTCACACACACACACACACACACACACACACACACACACACATATATCAGTACTAATTTGAGACTTACGAAATAACAGTAATTTATATAGAGAATTACAAATTTTGTTCAATCTAGAGTCATAGTTGACATGTTCTACGCCCATTCAGAGGAATTAAGATCCCGTTAGCAGGACACGACAGATAGAAAGACTAATTAATGAACAGACATTTTACTATTAGAGAATTTGATCAATGAAAAATCAAAACGCAGGAAACAGACGAAAATATTGATTTATTACTTAATATTAAAGCTACTAAACTTACTTTACTTAAGCAAATAATAATAACATAAAAACATAATTTAAAAGAAATGTGATGCACAAATGAGATTTTATCTCTGCCAGAAACCCTATTGAAAAAGACATTAAAACAGAAAATTCAGGGTAAGTTCGTTCAAAGAGAAAAAAATAGATGAGTAGGTAATTAAGTATACAGATAATAATTTAAAAATAAACATAATTATTTTAAAAAACAAGACTAATGTATAAATATATAAGCATAAACAGAAAAGCAAAAGATAACAGTGAGAGAAGATGTTGCTCAATTCGAAATTGAAAGCAAAGTACACTATAATAATAAAATGATATAAGCTAACAAAATCTTAACGTATGTACCTATACTAAATTTAATAAGTGCCTCAAAAACCCTTATAATCATGACAGAACATTGTCGATAGTTCATCATTGTCAATTCGTGCATATCTTCTAAATTTTAATCCACTATAAGTGACAAGAGACAGTACTAGCCATATGTCACGTCTGTCGTATAAAATATGCATACAAGACGTGTAACGAACACAATCGATATGAAACGAATGTATCTAAAAGCCCATGAAATATTCGTAATCCAAAGCTTGATAAACAAACGAACGCAAGCTGGTGACAACTCTCAACAAATACGACATGAAAATTCAGTCGCAGAACGAGATAAATAACAAATGAACAAGAACAGGAGGCGAATAGCATCAAGCTACTAGGTTAGTGGGTTGAAGGTGGGTACAATTTAATATATACATCAATGTGCATAAAAACTAAAACTACGAATACATAGTACATAATTTGGAATATTACCTAAGGCTCAATTCAAAAAAGAAGAATAGATATATTTTTTTGGCAGTTTTTTATGAATATTCTATTTTTAACTACTATTTCACTAAATTCGAAATTATAAGTTTGAAATCACCAACCAGTCTTGAGCAAGCGTGGTGATTAATACTCAAATCTTCTCTATATGAGAAGAGGCCTTTTTTCAGCAGTGTTAGATGGAATAATGATGATGATTTCACTAAATTATAATAGTTAAAGTTAAGTCTTGTATATATAACTCGAATTCGTTTCTTATTAACCAGAAACTTATTTCGTAAATTCATAATATTCTCTTTCATATTTAAGCTTAAGCGGTGAAACAAGCGCTCGCAAACCGAGTTTTCTTATGTCGTAAAAGTTTATATTGCCTTACATTTTTATGATTTTAGCAATTGTGCACGCGACTGTACCTGTACCGAACAACACTGAAAATAGCTTGAATCACGGAATTTATATGACTCCGATCGACATAACAACTATTCAACTAAGAATTAAATACGATTAGAAATAATTTACCAAAGGAACATTAATTCCTTGAAAGATTTAAAGGCGTTTTGAAGTGTTGAAATTTTTCTCTCACGATCTTCAAGTTTAGGGGCAACAAATCATCTAAATTTTCTCGGCCCTTGATCAAACTTGAAACAAAGTACGCCGAAAGTATGATTTATCTTATCTCAAAATCTTGTTTACAAACAAACTAAGGCATTTTGTTTTCTGATATTTAAATACTTTTCAACACTTAATGAGAATATTATAGACTTATATACAGTGTACTGAAAGAATAATACTGATTGTTTTTTGATTTTTCTTAAAAAAAAATTACAGTATTTGCTAGAAGATTTGATATTGAAACAGGATGTACACGAATTATATGAAACGATTAGATTTAGTGAGACTTACGCGAGTTTCATTCATTTAAATGAAACTAATATTATTTTATTATTTTCTACACCAGACGTTTCGGTTACTTTTCAGCAACCGTGATCACGGGCAGACGAGATATCTTTTTCTATAGCGTTTTAAATTAATAAAACATTCGTAATAATAGGAACAGATATCTTTATAATAAATAATGAAAACGTATACAAATTTTATTGAATAGTTGTTCATTTTTATATAACAGCAATAAAATAAATACAGTTTAGATTTCTCATTTAAATTAGTGATTCATTCAAAGTGGTTAAAAAACTTTATACATTTAGTAGTGTCATACATACCAGTATGTACATATCGCAAGAAACTTCAATGGTAAATTAAATGAAAATAATATCCACTTTTATTAATGTTAATATTAGATTATTCATATTTTTTTATACTATGGCTTCATTCACATTGGACATTTGACATACATGTGATTTTATTGAATTTTATTTACCTTTGAAGTTTATTTAAAATATTTACCGGCTCAATGCTGTCATATTAAAAATAACGAACTTTTTCACAGGACTTTCAATCTAAAATCTATTTACGTAGACTATTTTATTATGTATCCATGTGAAAAATATTTCTTTTTCAATAAAACAATGATTAAACTTGTATAGCTAAATTAAAATACAATAGATTTTTAAATTACTTTTAACGTAGCTAGTCAAGTCTTTACAAAGATACCTAAATATTTTTCTCTCTTAAAAAGTGTAAAGAATCCTTAGTTCTTTTTCATATTATATTCGGTACATTAAAAGTCAGTGGTGGCCTAGTGGTTACAAGGCCCGCTTGTTCGATCCTGGTCCTTGCAAGTACCAATGTGATTTTACCAGTCATATGTACGTTCTAAGAGTATTTAGACATCACTGATTAGTACATTCCCAAAGAGCCAAAACTATTCACAACATGTAAGGCAAACCCTGGCTAAAGCTGGGAAATTGCCAGGTAGAAGAAGGAGATACTGTAAATAGTATAGACGGTGTTTGGAATCGGGAAACCAATGAATAAACAGTTCAATAAATCGGTCAATATATGCAGTTGTAACGAGCGATACAGTCGTGAGCGCGTCTGATCCGAATGATGAACTTAAGTTGAAAGCCAGTTGAAAATTATCGGCAACAATTATCGTGTGTGTCTATAGTATTTAATACGGGAAATATTCTTGTTTGCAATCTCCATACTATTAATAAATACAATTCATCAAATATGTCACGCGTTCTTGAAGATTTATCGATATAGTAAAAATTTAAATTAAACACATGTAAAGCTTATACTTTCATATTATCATAGATTTTCTAGGAAATAATTTAAATATATCTCGTTCTTTCAAAAGCAATTTTTATATAAATTTGAAGAATAATAAATTTATATAAAGAAAATAAACAAATTTAGACTTAATTTACTGTACTTCATTTAAATTATTAAATTATTTTTTTTCATTAATATCATTATTAATAGGATATACATATGTCATTAAATGCCTGATATAAAAAAATAAACAAATTTAGACTTAATTTACAGTAATTGATTTAAATTATTAAATTTTCCTTTTTCATTAATATCATTATTAATAGGATATACATATGTCATTAAATGCCTGATATATATCAAAGACATAATGTCATATAAATTTAATATATGATCTTTATATATAGTTTTATTTATTACATTTAACTCACCTCATTATCCTTGTCAGCGTCTTTAATGTGCTGTGCTATGAACCTCACACTTTGCAGCGCTGCAGCCACTTCAGGTGACAAATGACGAGGCAGCATATTTTCTGATTCCGTTACTGTTTGAAAATTATTAATATTAATAATATACAATTCTGTTCAACCTAGACATAGACGTAAGAACTAATTGCTTCAAATGTCGATTATTATTCCAAGTCTTGTTTACAACAACGCGATAGTGGAGGTAAAATCAAACCTTTATATCAACTAACTATCCTGCGGTACTTACTTTAGTATCTAATTTAAGGAGGTAAGTAAATGTATTTTGAAAGTAATACAAATATTACTATATTAGATAAAACTAAAAGGAAATTTTATAAGTCGCGTAATTATTTTTATAAATGAGCATATTTTTATAAATGCAAATGTGCATAAAAATAAAGAAAATTATATGACTAAAACACTTATATAACAAAGAAGTATATAACTCTGATTTTATAAGAATTTAAATGAAAAAAAATTGTTATACTAGCCAATAATTCAAGGATCTTAAACAAAACTTATTTCATGAAAAATGAACTTTCATAATAATGTTATGGAAAGTCTTTCATAGTAAATCTTACCTGAAGGTCTTTGATGAACGCCGGCTCCCATCATATCATCTTCAGGAGCTGGTGACTTGCAGTAGTCACCATCATCACCCTTGGTACTTCCAAAAGCATCAGTCAGACTGTCCCTACTGAAAATAATTCAGTACTATAGCTGAATGGACTTAATTGGCATATTAAATACATTCAATTTATTTCGAGCGCAAAAATAAGAATAAAAAAACAAAAATGTATTTAAACAAATATGATTAAAATACGAAACGAATCTACAAAAAAAAGGCAAAAACCATCTCATAAAATCAAAAAACAACTCATAAATACGACCTAAAAAAAATATATAAACATGATTCTCTATTTTATATTTTCATATGTTTAAATTATAATATTTTTGCAAAAACTATTTCAAGTTTAGATAGTAAGTGGATAGCTAAAAATATTTCATCATATATCTATAAAAATATACATAGCATCTGAAGTTAGTAGACCCAAATATTTTATTGTCAAAATTATCGCCACGACCGCAGGCTGAATAAATAAAGTCATAAAATACGTTACATTTTATGTCTCTTATAAACGCAGCCATGAAATAACATTATAAAGGCAATGAATAAAAAATAAAGGTACTTTATGGCAATAAATGTTCAAAAAGAGATGAAAAGACCGTAAAAAAATCTACAGCCAATTACTATTCAAGGAAGATTATTTTACAACTTCTACCTCAGGGACTGATTGCTATACTGTGTCAATATGATAAAATATATACTGAAATTTTAATATGAAAATACACATATATAGACTTAACATAAAGAAAAGGTTTGGGCAAAAGTTTTCTTCTTAACCCAAATAGGTAAGTAAAATGATCGTGGCGTATTCAATTTTTATGATAAATCAATTTTTATAATGTAATTGTAGATAAATATGACGAGAAATTAAGTGCCGATTTTATATATCAATCTAAAAAATAGAAGTTTCGTCATTTTGACAAAATATATTTCATTAAAAAAAAGAACAAATAGCTGCCGTTTTGAAACGAGGAAAATAAGTTTGCAAGTTTTTTCTTTGATAATGGAATTAGAAAAGTCGGCGAAAAAATTACAGTAGTCTGTATAAATGCTATTTTTTGTAAATAAATTTTAGAAAGCATTCATATATATGTTTTAATGTAAATGTCCTGTTGACAATTTTGACAATAATATAATAGAGACAAGTCGTAGGAACTAATAATACTAACGGGAATCTCTCAAACCATCACATTGATTCAGTCATAGATGATTTCCTTTTATTATTTTTTCTTTTAATAAAATATCCTCTATAACAAAACAGAGGTAAGAATGAAAACTTTGCAACCATATCTTAATATAAAAAAAAGTCATACGACTGGGACTCTATTCAAAATAAGTCAGGGATTTGAAGATAAACCCATTCTGAAAGATCAATGCTAATTGAGACGTTTTATATCTTACAATATCAATAATAATACAAATAAAATGTGTATCCATCATACAACTATTGGATCATTCAAGAATGAAATCCGTTATCCGAAGAAATAGGATACCAATAACAAGCAAAAAGTAACTTAATTATTACAAGCATTATAGTTCAATATTACTCTAATGCTAACTTCATACAAAAACGAAAATCCAACCTCATTTCCAGTTCATTGGTATATCCATTAGACACAAAGGTGTCATCGTAGTCTGGTAGAGAGTATTTGGTTCTTCTCATCATCAATAATTTAGGCATCAGCTGAAGGAAAAGCTTTTTCATCCATGGAGACATCGTGTGTGTTGAAGGAGACCTTGAGACAGGAAGATTATAATAACTTTGCTCTCAAAAACATAACTATATTTAAAAAGACATTTTGATTGTAAGTCTGAATTTAACATTAATGATTTTTGTGAAATACGAAACGGTATTTTTTTATATATTTTTTTTCGTTGAACATTCATCCAAGAATTATGTGATATAACGGTTATGCTAACATATGTATCAAATATACGCATTCAATAAAAGCATCACAATCCGCGTCATCAGCCATATTTCAGAATCTATTGTTCTTTATCGAAGTGGCAACGTACAATGAACCTAGATTTATGAGTCACGCCGCCTGCCCAAACATTTCGCCTATCTATTTTGTTTTGCAATTTCGTGTGGCTATGACAAAGCACCATGTACATGTGCATAATTCTGCAGTTAACCAGAGAATGTTTTTTACTATATTTATTCGGAATATATTTTTCACACTTCATTCTATTACAATTTAAAATATTACTGTTACTATCCTCTGTAACATATAAAATATACACGATAGAAAATATACTGCCTGTAAAAATTATGTTTAAATTTAATTACGTGATAGTAGGTATAACTATTTTATTGCTAATAACTACTCATTGGTCATTAGTATTGTAGGACATACTACATTAAAAGATCGCAAACAGTGAGATAAAAATAATAAATATCTACAAGAGATTAATCAATTTTTATTTTAGTTATTGTTACGAAACATCTTGTACCTGTATTTTTTTAAATAAAATTTTGATGCCTACTTATAAAACGATATCATTTTAAATTAATTTACATGTCCAATCTTACTTTGTGTTTCCTTGTCTTCTTATAATAATAAATTTAATTAATACATACCTTTTAAATTCCGTAAACACTACTTTTTTTAAATTTTCTTTAACTTACCACATATACTGAGTTGCTTAATATTTTCTTTATTAAAACACATTGTTTATTTAATACAGGCATTAATTATACGGCATTATAACTCAATATTAAGGTTTCACTCGTTTTAAAGACATCCATTCATTTTAAAGCACTACAGAAATGAACAACTACATCTACAAGAGAAAGAGGGTAGACAGATAGAAAGAAAAGAAACTAAATTGAAGAAGGATTAGGGAAGGACCTTTTAAAATTTGATCCACTCACCTAAAGTGAACATTTAAAACGCATACCGTCATCCATACACTGAGCGATACCAAAATCATTGTAAACAGCAAATACTTCCCTAACAACGGTATTGCTAGGGATGTGGGCGGTATTATTTCAGCCATCAACAGGAAAAACACGGTGAGTGAAACCAGAATCGAGATGCTTAACGAAATCTACGAGAAAGAGAGAATAATATATTATTTACCTGAAATGGACGTTTACAATGCATACAGTGACCCAAACGCTGAGCGACACGAGAATCATTGTGAATAGTAGATATTTCCCAAGCAAAGGGATCGCCAAGGATGTTGGCGGGATGATCTCGGCCAGACCAAGGAAGAACACAGTGAGGGACACCAGGATGGAGATGCAGAGCGATATCTAAGAAGAAAAGTCCTTTTTGAATGACATTGTACATTAGACGCATTACATATTGTCTTTCCACTAGCGATTCTGTTGCTTAAAACAATCATACACTTAGTATACTTCAGCTTCTTATATATAAAACATGTTCATTATGGTATAAAATTTAGGTTGTCTGCAGAAAAATTTTCATTAAAAAAAATTTAGGACGCGTTATGGCGTACCTAAAATGCATATATCTCAGGGATTTCTGTGGCCTTAGATAAGAACTACATCGTGAGTGGACAATAAAATCATTTCATTCAGAATAATTCTTCCTTTTTTAATATTACGACAAATATGGTTCACGACCATCGTAAATACGCTTAGGAAATACAACAAACAACTCGTAGGAAACTGCTTATTGAATAATACTTTGTAACAAAGAAGACATTTGGAGGGCTTTCACCCAAAAAATCTTCAACTCATTTCTTTCACTAAGAAAACTTCTTACATCTTTATATTATAAGAAAATACGTAATAAAAGTACATATAAATCGAAACGTGATACAAAAAATATCATGTTCAAAAACAGTCCCTTCTAATATTTTATTTTCTTTGAAACAAAAATTAACCACCGCTATAAGTTTCCTTGGATTCTGAAAAGCAATTTTAACCAACGTAAACTATCTACTCGTAGTACAGACGTTATTAAATATGAAAATTAAGAATTAAAAATTGTTCCGCGGACATCCTTTACATGGTAAAATAACGAAGTTCTTACAATCGTCTACAAAATTATCAATACCAATATATTTACATACAATCTTTATATTATACATATGTTACTAACTGGTGGAAAGACAACGTAATTAATAAGCGAAATGATATAAATGATAGCGCATTCCCACATCAAGCTAATGAATCAAAAGACCACGAATGGCTTGGAAAAGGATAGATGGATGATTGGATGGAAGCACGGAAGAAGTTATATCCCACAGAAGTTACGCAAATAAATTGAAAAAATAGAAGAATCCAAAAACTATATCAGAATCATTCAGATATGTTTATTATTATTTCCAACTTAATATAATAATATAACTTAGTTAATCCACATGTTCAGTGAATTTCCTTTCAGTTCTGAGACAATAGAATATTTATATAAAAATGTCAAGAATTCTTGATAGACATGAAAATATTTTCTCAAATATTCGTCGAACGAAACAGAAAAGGCACGAGATTATAAAAAGCTTAAACAGAATTGAAATCGAAAAGGAAATGAAATCATATTCATGTTAATCAGATTATTTTTAACACAACGTTTCACGATTTTCAACTACCACAAGACTATGAGGATCACATCATACAATAACTAATGTGACGACTGTATACCACACGTGTTACCTTTTCACCAGAATCCGATGGCAAATAAAATACAAGTACAGTCAAAAAAGTCAACCCGACACATGGTATGATTAAGTTTACTGTATAGAACAGAGTTTTTCTTCTCATTGTTAGTTTAAAAGTTATATCTGAAACAAAAACTAAAGGTAGAAATAGGTAATATTTATTCAAGTTCTACTTATCAATAGAAATGGAAAATGTATGTCAATTTGTAAAGTCCAATTTTAATCCAAAATAGTATACTAATAATTTACTTATTTCCAAATAATTTTTCTGTATGTGTTTCAAATATAGATTAAATCAGTAATTTTCTTGATGCGTAAAATAATTCTATAGGTATTTTCAGCAAGTGTGACCACGGGCAGACGAGATGATTAGAAGTAGCCGAAACGTCGGGAGTACATAGTTTTTTTTCGACAATAAAGTCAATTAGTACATGCGAAAAATATTAGTTTCATTTAACTGAATAAATTAACTTTTTTTTTTTCGTTATTTCACTTACCAGAAAAAGGTTCGGGACAGCAAGGATAGTACTCCTCGTTTCTAGTAGCTGGTACTTCAAGTATATCCCACTCTACCGATAAATAAAACTCACTAAGATCAATACCAACATGAACAAGACTACTACCAGGTAATTGATCCATATGTTTTAAATCCACCTGGAACAAATTTAATACTAGAATTTTGATCCTAACCTGATGTCCATAGAAATGATATTAAGACCCAGTTTCACCAATCAATGTTTGTTTAAGCTAATCACAGCATTTACTAACCAACCTACAAAATTATAAATGTCTGTTAAAATATTTACGTCCCACGATGACAAAATAACAACGCATTATTAAACGTCATGTCAAATGACCGACTACCAAATTATTCTTTCTTGTTATAAGACGACCAAATGGAAACTATAGCGTTTAATACGGCACGTTTACCACGATGCACCACTTGATAGTTTGATCGTATATATCCCTCGATACGTCACTTGTTAGGCAATGCGACCAAATTTTATATATCGTTGGTTGCATACATTTGGCACACAAAAAGCTTTCTTTTCAATTTACTAGGTGTAACCTGTCAAAATCGGGTTGTCAATAAATTGTGTTATATATTATTATGTTATAAATATATGCATAAATTGTGTTCAAATTATAAGAGATAAAAAGAATATTTAATTTGCAATGTTATAAAAAAGCTGGAGGCAAAATCATCATAGGAAATGAAATTTTAATTCACTTTATTAATAAGTACAAGGAAATAGTCGAAACTGACAAAACAGATGACGTTACTATGGTTACAAGAAATCAGGGCTATGATTGGACAATTGAGTTTCGACAATGCATTAACAGTCATATTAGCCATTAGACCAGAGCAGGAATTAATATTAGTGACTGGTTAAGCCATTTAAACGGACATTTGTGCGTGGTGGGACGCTCGATGCATCTAACAGAGCATCAAACGCCTTAACACGATGTTACTTATTTAACAATGATTGGTGAAACTGGGTCTAATATTGACAATCGTAGAATATTAATTGAATAAATAAATTAGACAAAATTATAAACTCTTCCTTTGAAAAATACCAAACAATGTCTTTATAGTTAGGCATATTGAAATCCACAAAATATCCGTAATTTTTATTATTATATATTGCTGAAACAAATATTAACTACTTGATAGTAATTGCTTGTGACAAAATATATTTCATACATTAAACTAACCTGTTTATATCAATATGCAAGCTTTAATAGTTGAAAGACTAATTACAAAATCGTCATCTGGTTAAACTAAGAAATGATAGTTAATTTCATTTTGGAATCACCTTTTAAAACATCTACATATGTATATGTATGACCCATTTTAAATATAATACGTCCTCTGTTTATTTTTATAACTAACATAAAATAACTTCCATCTAGTCTTACTTAAATTTAAAATATCAATTGTTATTTTAACTAATGAAATACTTTATAAAAATAGACTCAGCAATTTATATATAAACTCAAAAAGAACCGCCGCGCCGTAGCAAGCTCTCATCTAATATAATATTATCCTACTAATATTATAATTGCGAAAGTTTGTGAGTGTGTGTATGTTTGTTACTTCTTCACGCTCAAACGGCCGAACCGATTTTGATAAAATTTTGTATACAGGAAGCTGACGTCTAGGAATAACACATAGGTTACTTTAAATCCCGGAAATCCGCGGGTAACACCGCGAGGTGCAGCTGGTTTAAAATAATGGGATGGTGACAAAACTCTTACCTGAGCTCCATTGTATGTCCAGGAGCCGAATTTCATGAAGCAAGTTTGTTCATCAAATGGAAAATATTCAACATTTATCTCACAAGATGACTTGTATATGGCTGGAGGCTTCCAGTTCACTTCTCCGGTATACTTTAAGGTGGCTTTTGTCATAAGTGTCACCTGAAACATCATACGTAAAAATTAGTAATGTAATAAACATCTTATACTTATTTACTCAAAAACTTTTAAATACCAGGTTACTTATTAAATTACTTAATACCTTTTTAATACCAGATTGGCATTACTCGAATGACAAGAGAAACAAAATAATATTTATATATTTTATATTGATAGTAAGATTATAGTTTTGTAAAATAATAATTTAATATACAACAGAATTTTATGAGTTACATCGAAATAAAGATTATTTAGGAATGCATACTTTCTTTTAATAATAAACTGTATAAAAACTTTTACAAGTGCTCCTGAATCTGAAAATTATACATTTTTAGACAAACTATTTAAAAACCTAGCAACGCCTTCTTTAATGGCAATAAATTCAATCAAATTAAAGAAAACACTTTACTCAATTAATATATTTATGTAGTCTATTTGACCACGTAATTAAAAATTGCTTATTTTATGTTTATATACATTATAATTTGTATAATTACTGCAAATCATCTTTCTTACTTAGGGAATAGTATTTTGATTACCCGCTGATAACTTAAACGGTAGGCAGCAATATTAAATATTAGTTTTCGGTTAAAATTTATAGAAAAATTAAGTCTCTATATACTTTTATTTTTAATGTATTAAATATTTTCTCTTAAAAGTATTCTATTTGATTTAAAATTTGTAGCAATAACGTAAATTTAAATATAAAGTTGAGTAAGGCAAAATGAAGGGTAGTTGCTAACCCAATTACAATTGTACATAGTTATAGTCAAAAATAAAAAATCGCGTAGTAAATCCGAAAATATTAGTTTCATTTAAATGAGTTCTCGCGAAAATCTTAATCTTAATCCATATAAAATGTGAAATGCTTTGAGAATTTTACCAAACATTTCATAAGAATTAAAGACAGCTTAAAATTTTATAAAAAAGCTTTTTTTCTGAATTAATTTTTAGTTTTTACTGTTATAATGTTAACTAATATTGTAAAAATTTGGCATATTTTTATTAAAACCTGATTAGATTTTTAATAATAGATTTGTATTTTAACTTTTTTTTTTAAATTCACCCTTCAAACCTCTAACAATAATTAATTACTCAACAAAATTAAGTCTTACTTAAGCTTTAAGTATATATGTATATAAAGAACAACAGTACCCACCATTCTAAATATTAGCTTCTAAATATCAAATATCGATAAAATACAAAAAATTTATGTATATATTATATTATCTAAAATTGACAAACTACACTCGTATAAATACATATACATATGTATGTACAAAATTAATAATTTTATTTACTTGAAATAAATTATAAAAGTTTCAACAAAAATATGACTTCCGGACATACTAAGTTTATTTTGTCACTCTACATTAATTTTACACTAAACCCTTTCACACTTTAATTTCCCCTTTCCCTGAAAACGTTTAGAATCTTTAAAAAAATTAGAATAATAGAAAACTAGTACGCATTAAATTTAAACAACATTATTATTAGGATATATGTGCTCCTGAAATTATAAAAATTAATTAAAATGGAAAAATTAAAACTGTGATAATACTAAAGGCTAAGCTATAAACGCTACTAGCCCCACAGAAGAATTTTCTTATTTCAGAAAATTAACCAGATTAATAATTCCCCGTAATATTATTTACATGAAAAAAGTTCAGGAGCTACAGCTGTCTTAATACATGCATACAAACTAGTCTTCAATGTCTTACTTTATCATGAGATGAGAAGTATGATAAGCTTGTTTTATAAAAACTATAACACTTAGGTTATTAATAAAATTTTGTCCTATACATACGGTAAAGAAACCGTAAAAATTCCTAGTTTCTTTTCGCCAACTTGAAAAGAATTCTACCGGCAAGAAAATCGCAAAGAATAGTACTCTCAAGAAAACTTAATTCATACACTAAATAGCATTCAATATTTCTAAATACATACTTCGTAATTACCGTCCCAGTTATTATAAAGGACGATGTCAGGCAGCCAGATGTGTTCTGAAGGTACGTACAGCATCTCAACACCTCCATAGTCATCTGGATTCCATTGGAGCTTGTAGTCGAACCATTTCTGGAAGTTTCGTTTACTGATTTAGCTATTTCGTGATCATTCCATCAATTGAAGATGGTTGAAATAGTATTTGTGGGTGATAGTAATGATAGTAAGGTAATAAGTAAGCTTGAATTAATAGTTTAATATGACATATGGTTAATTTATTTATTCATTACAGACGTTAAAACTCGTGATTTTATTTAATAATAATTAAGTTCAAATTAATATTGTCTCTAGCAAATATCGAGTCTTTTTCCAAGACATTAATGAAAACAAACTATAGGTGTGGAAAAGTTAGAATATAAATCTTGTAAGTACTTAACAAGTACACAATAAATTAAACTCTGCCTGTACTTTTATTTCAATTAACAAAAATTTATCGGGTTTAGTTAAAAGTCGCAATACAGATAATAAAATTTTATAAGAATATAAATAGCAGAGTGCACAGCATATATTCTATTATTTACATAAACCCATCTGAAACATTTTATTGTAACTATTAAAAAGAAAGTAAACAGAATCTTCATCAGAATCATATGAAAAGAAGAATGTTAATAGAAACGTTTGTATAACAACTATATGCCATGTAAATTGTTACTAAATGAATCTCTTACCTGTTCCACCCACAAGTTGGTAGTCATGACCTGGTTCTTCAAATTCACCTCCATGAGTTGGGAGAGCTTCAAGCCAAGCCTCACCGTCAGTATATCACTCACATTGGTCACAGGTCTAATCAATCGATTGTAGTTACTGAGCAGGTCATCGTAAAGCCTTTTTACATCTGGATTCGCTTCCAGCAGTTTTACAGCTGTAATTGTTTTATTAAAATTATATACAAGCAAAACTGATCTAGTACAAGAGCGTAAAATAGTAATGGACTATTCTACATAAATTATGTTAGTTTGTATGTCCAAATGAATTCGTTTCTATCCATATTTAAAGTATCTTAGACTCACCAAAGCAGCTCCTAATGATATTGAACAGCAACAACAAATATCGGAACTTCATATTTATTCTTTATATCCTCAGCAAGTGTTTACGGTGGATGCTGTGAGATTTTAAGATGAATATTCACGGCGCCTGCGTAATCAATAGTCTACGAATGTACACTAGCGCCACTGGAAAAGTGGACGGAGGATGAACAAAATTCATTTTTCATAACCACTTTTTAACAATAGATGGCATTAGTTGTAGATATAAATTTAAAATTAACCTTTATCAATAGTAACAGGAAAAATTAAAATTCAAGCATAACTTTGACACATTTTATTCATCATTTTGAAAACAATAACACTATATACAGTAAGATTAAAATAAACTCGTATTGTAAGTTATAAGCAACTAAGAGATTATTTTAGATGTACTTAAAGTAAGCTTATAATTATCAGATTCATTCTAAACGAAACTGTAACACTATCTTTTGTTATTTTCAACTTTAATTTTCTTTAAGGTCTTTCCGTTGTAAATATATTCGACTGTTCGATCATCTGAAAGGAAAGTAGATTGTTTTTAATTTTCAAACACGAATCTTCAAAACCAAAATATGAGAGCCTCTTTTCCTTTTTATTTACCTAACACAGGGTTCTTGGGTAGTGGCCAGAGACTAAAAGGGTAAATGTATGCATTGGGAACTCTCCTTATCACTATTGTCCTTTCCTGCGCCATGTGTGGAGTTTCTGGAAAATAGATATCACTGGAATATTTCTTTTTCTACTTTTTTCCTGTCCGGTATAAAGTTAGTTATAAATTATAATGATTATCTTACGAAAGTAAAGTATTTACAAATCAGTGCATTTTTATGTGCCAATATCGACAAATCTATACTAATATTATAAAGCTGAAGAGTTTGTTTGTTTGTTTGTTTGAAAGCGCTAATCTCCGAAAATACTGGTTCGAATTGAATAATTCTTTTTGTGTTGGATAGTCCACTTATCGAGGAAGTATAATATCACGCTACGACCAATAGGAGCAAAGATATAATGGTAAATGTGTAAAAAACGGGAGAAATTATTTCATCTTTGAAGCCTTCCGTTGCGTGCGCCGTGAAAACGGTTCAAGATACACAAAAAATATGTAATAAAGAATAATAGCTCTTTTAATGATCTAAAAAGCAGTTCGCGACAGTATATGTCTATCTTTTAAGATTAACTCACAAAAACCGTTTTTATGGTACCTAATTTGGTCGAAATAATTTTATAAAATCTTTATTCAAATAAACAAATAAATATGTTGTTGGTTAAGAGTACTTCATTGTGAATTAAAAAAAAAACATAGGTTTTATGGTGAAAAATCTGCCGGAAGTCACTACTCCACGCGGACGGAGTCGCGGCAAAAGCTAGTTTATTATAAGATATTTTGACCAGACATTTTTTGCAAAGTATGAACAGCGCTTGCAAATCTTCATCAGAATTTCGAAATTCACATAAGATAAACATGCAAACAATTACATAATAATATTATAAAAACATATATTAGAAACATTTTAATTCTGAACATATTGTTAAACAAATAAAAACAGTTTAAAAAAATGCTATACACCCTTGAATAAGAAAACAATTAAATTAATGATGATAATTTAACCTGTGTCTTGCTGTAGCATAAAATCTCCGTTCTAATAACACTCCTGTATCACTTACACTATTAATAAATGTGAGTTCTCGAGGTGATCAGTATTACATAAGAGTTCAATATACGATTGAGGAAGACAAGCAGTAATCGAAAACACCTTCCTTCTTCCTAGAGCAATGTCAATGTTATTCTAATATCTTCCTGCTATACAATCAACGATGACACCTTTATTGTATGGAATATTTTCGCTTCACGATTGTTATATCACTTTATTTGATTATGTTATGAAATTCATTTTATTTTTTAACTAAGATATGTTTATTGTGCACATTTTTTTTTTATGTTGCAGGGAAACTCTTTTCACGAGCCGTCCAACCGGCCTTGGTGGGGCCGAAAGGGATGTGTGAGACTCGACCTGGGCAGGCCCCTACTCACTATTGTGCACACCTAAAATAACAGATCCTAAAACGAGGGTAGTTCCAAATCATTTTCTTATGACTGAACAAGACTATTATTGGAATATTCCAGAACGTTTTATATTATTTATATATTTATCTTACTAAAACAAAACAATTAGCAGAAAAGTCTCACATGTATGAGAGCAAAAAGAATCAAAATTACTAGTCTTATTTATCGAAGGGAATAGTCCTATTTATATCGTTGAAGCTATCAGGCGGCGAAGTGCTAAACTATATCTATAAGGTCATAAATATGCAAATGTACGCATCGTTAAGGCTACTTCCTCATAGCTCGTAGGTGTACCATTTTTCACTTAAGAGGACAGTAAATACTATATACGTCATAGATTTATGGTTGTTTATATCTGTCTGTAACAATGTCTGCAAGTACCAATACAAGAGGAACCCATATTGATGATAAAGTCTCAATTTAAGGTAAATATTTTGGGGACTGATATTGAAGAAAACAGAGTTTAAAACGTGTAAAATAATATTCACTCAATATCGTTGTGGATTTATTTTGAAATCAGTCATAACTGGCAAAAGATTTTTTTTAATATATAGGATTCTTTTCAATGAAAAAGTGAGTGAACCGTAATTTGAAGAAAAACATTTGCACAATTTTATCAGGAGACAATTATTGAGAAAATAGTTTAATCACTCATCAATACCTGGATCGATAAATAAAATTTTTCCTTTCAGTACGACTCGACGCCGTGTCAAAAAGCACAATTTACCAAATCTTATTTAGAAAGTGTAGTCTAGCCATCATCTAGCCCTGATCTTAATCTGCTGGATTACAATTTATTGACAGTTTTAAAGAGGCTCTGAACGAAATGGTCATTTGGTAACTCTAAAACGATTGGCAGTGAAAAATTGTCCCATAGAAAGAGTTGAAATCACTATTGCCCATGGATAACTCACCTTAACGCTTATTGAACTGCATTTCAATTCATGGGCAACACTTGAAATTTCATTTATAACTTGATTTTATACGAAAATAATAAACGAATAATTACACTAAGCCTAACAAGTTTTACATATTATATACAACAAAAATAATTTTATTTTTATGCAACGAATGTTACATAAGTCTGACCGAAAAAAGTCTTTAAATAAATCGATAAAATATTAGTTTTAATGAAGTAAAGATATTTAAAACTTACCTTATTTACTTGTAAATAAAACACAAAGGTACTGATATTCACGTATTGAGTTAGTAAGCTTATAAATAATACTTTAAATATGTATTTTAAAAGTTGTCAAAGGAAAATTATAAGAAAAGGTACATAAATAAATATATTTAATGAAAATGTATAAACTAGTAATTTTTCACTTCTATAATGCAATAATCAAAAAAAAAAGATATTGGACAAAATTATTAGAAAATTCACAAATTTTAATGTGTTGAATTTTGTTCGGCTTCATTTCGATACATAAAAAATAATTATTAAATATTACTATTGCTTTTGTTTATTCCAGAATTTAAAACAAAAATTATTATAAAGTGTTTTATATATGTATATGTTTTCTTAAAACTTTTATAACATACATATGTATTTATTTAACCAACACAAAAGCCTAGAGTTGGATTCAGGCAAGAAAAATATAAAAATACGACTTCGATAAATATTTTGACTATTTTCATATATTCTATAGAACGATATCATTAATAAAAGCACACAGAATAGACAGACCCACAAACAAATGCTAGTAACTTAAAAGAATAATAATACAATAAAATTTAAACAAATCACTCCGCAAAATCTGAAATGATCCCTAATTCCCACGAAACAATCTGTCCGATTACGTGTTAATAGACTGAGGAAGCACAATTTATCACTTATGTATAACTAGAGATGGTACACTAACCTACCTACTTATTACATACGCTTGATCTGTTCCGTTGCATAATAAGAATAAGATTTCGTAACAATAAATTGATTTCATTTGAGTTATATAAAAGCTTTATTACTTTGCACTCTTTAAATAACTTTTATGGGGCTTATTTTCTTTATATTTTGTAATATACACTCGTAATAATTTTCGTTAAAGAATAACACAATTATTCTGCTATTATGTGATTTTTAGAGGATATTTTTTAAATTATTATTTAATAGCATATCAAACGACTTTTAAATATCTGAAATAACACTATCGAATACAAAAATCTCATCTCATAATCGCCCTTGTTATTGTTTCAAATATACAGTAAGGGGCTTCAATTGATTGAAAAAAAACAGTTGTGGTCATATAGATGAGTTTATCCAATTAAAGTTTAATATATCACAATAAACTACTTAGTTCACTTGATGTTCATAATAAGAGTTGTACCCTGGCCTACCACAACACCGCAAAAAAACTTCCTCGCTTTAAAATTCTAAATCTCTATATACTTAGCCATGAACTCTTGCTCAGAAATCATACAAAGACATCAAAAATCCTACCAAAATAAAAAAAAACGCCGCTTAACAAACCCCATAAATGAGATAAGTGTGTCAAAGTTAATAAAATTATTGTAAAAAAAATGCCGGAGATCAGAAACGAGGTCACACATAAAACTTGGTGCCCGATATATCATTTATGGGTCAGAAAATTGGAACAAAAACTTTATACGCGTTTGACGAACATAAAAGAAATAAGCAGCTATCATTTTATTAGAAGCTGGGGCGAAGGCAAAATTTTTGATCGTTGTTATTTCCATAATGTTATTACAATATGATTTACTTAATTCAAAAATCTTCTATATATATAAAAATGGATTACTGTTCCTTAGTCTCGCTAAAACTCGAGAACAGGTGAACGGATTTATCTTATCTTAGTCCTGAAATGTTCGTGGAGGTTCAGGGAAGGTATAAAAGCTGAAAAAAATTAATTCATTACTGGGAAAACCATAAAAACAGCCCTTTTCTATTTCCCATACAAACGTTTTTTTTTTACATTAGATTTGACAACTAACTAGGTTTCGTCTCATATAAAACGACTGCCCGGAGAGTCGGGCTGACTCTGGAAAGACAGATGACTGCCGGAAAGACGGATGACTGCCGGAAAGACGGATGACTGCTGGAAAGACAGCCGAGGGCAACGGCCTAGCAAGCCCAGCCCGGGATTTATTAAGCTAAAAGTCCTATAAAGAAAAATACCCCTGGGACAGTCCGAGAGGGGGGGCGGAAGATCTGTCCACCGGTCGATTTAAACGGCGAAAACGGCGCGAATACGGACTTGAAATTCCCTACGTGCGGGAAAAATTACAAGAGACGAGCCTGGTACATTAAACACCTAAAAACACATAATGGTGTTGAAGCACGACAATCGTTGGTAAGTTCTTCAATTATCACTTCGGATAGAGTTGACCCTCACGTATCCCATGGTGAACCATTAACTGGAAACCACCAGGAGTCCATTAACATCCGGACACGTCTTAGCATTCCTAACATGAAACAATCGACTTGGAAAGTTCACGACGACAATTTAGCGGTCCTGTTAGAGCATCCGGGCTCGAAGCAGGAATTGAACTCGCAGGTAGAAACTTTCCAAAATACCGTTTATGACTACTTCAACGAGCAATATCCACCACGTAATCATTACGCTCGCAAAAATAAAGAAAATTCGTTCAAGATAAAAATGAGGAAGAAAAAACGGGAATTAATAAAAAATCTACGTATAGCCAAAGCTCTAGGCGACAACCACCTTAGTCATCAGCTAGCTAGGGCGTTAAGGTCAATCCTTAAATTAATTCAAGGAATATCGGCACAAACTGCAGAATATCGCGGTAATTTTGACCGGGCCAAACAGGAAGTAGATTTTGATAAAAACCCTTTTGAGTATTCGAAAACCATTTTTAAGAAAGAACGCGGACAGCTTCTCTTGACCAACGATCAAATTTACGACCATTTCAAGAGCACATACGAAGTGCCTAAAAGTGTAAGGCTCTATACGGATCCAAACGAACAAAAACCGGAAATTCCTCATATCGATTTTCACGGCATACCACCAACGTTAGACGAAATAAGTAGTCACATAAAGAGGAAATCATCTAAATCTGCACCGGGCCCCGATGGTATCCCATATATAGTCTTTAAAAAATGTCCATCGGTTCGTAAACACCTCATAAATATATACGGCAAAATCTGGTCAAGGAAGCAAATCCCGGAGTGTTTCGGGAAAGCAATTTTTGTCCTCATTCCCAAAAAAGATCGAGTTACCGATCCGAAGGATACTAGACCGATAGCCTTAACAAATACAATTTCTAAAATCTTTTTCTCGGTCCTACAAACGAGAATGACGCGATTCATGCTCAGCAACAAGTATTTTAGGCCAAATCACCAGAAAGGGTTTCTACCCGGGATTTCTGGATGCCTAGAACACAACACCTTGCTGTCGGAGAGTTTGAAAGATGCTAGAAAAAGCGAGCGGCAAATTACAGTTTGTTGGATAGACTTAGAGAACGCGTTCGGGTCGATACAACACGAGTTGATGCTATTCGCGCTTAGATGGTACAACTTTCCACCCCTAGTTAGAGATATGATCGCGTCGTATTACTCAAAATTAAGGTTTTCTATAATAACTAAAGAAGGCCCTTCAAAAAGTTTGAGTTATAATGTAGGACTGTTTCAAGGTTGTTGTCTATCTCCAATTACGTTTAATATCGTTATTAACATCTTAGTAGACAAATTAATCTGTAACAAGAAAAAATGGGGTTATCGGTTTAAGTTTAATAATAAATACACGGAATCCATTTTAGCCTTTGCTGACGATCTCGCAATACTGACACGTCACCCCAAACACTGTCAAGTACTATTGGATGAAGTGGATAAATTCTGTGAGTGGACGGATGGATTGAGGACAAAACCAAGTAAATGTCACTGTTTGTGTCTTGGTAGGCGGAATACAAGATACACCTCATACGATCCGGGACTATCGATAGGCGGTCAATGCGTTTCTACGGTTACGGAAGATGCACCATTCAAGTTTCTCGGTCGTAAGATTGATAATATAGGTCGTACTCCATCTTTAGAAGGAATAGTAGACAGCTTTTTAAATGATCTTAACAAGGTAGATAGCCAGCAGATCAGTAACGTAAAAAAAGCATGGATCTACGATAATTACTTAACTTCACGTTTGAATTGGCCTTTCCTCGTCTATGATTTTAGTAAAACCCTTTTATCTAAATTAGATGCAGGCGTCATAAAGATGTTGAAGTTGTGGCTCGGGCTCGCGCTAACGGCTGATTCATCGGCTTTATTCAGGGATCGTAATAGTTTTGGGATGAATCTAAAAAGACCATCGGAGCTCTACAAACACCTAAGAGTTTCCAAGAGACATATCCTGGGAAAATCCCATGATGACGTCGTTACATCACTCCCAAAAGACAACGATGCCCCAGAGCTAGAGTCACGACTTCAATTCCATAAACAATTTATGATCGGAGCGCAAAATAACAGAGTAGGGTTAGGATCAAGTAGGAAAGTCCAAGATACGGATATATTGAAGTCTTTTATTCGGCAAGACGAGAACGATAAATACAAAATCCATGCAATGAGTTTAGAAATGCAGAACGAGTGGTTAGACATAGGAGATTTTTGCATTCCACTAGCACTAAAATGGCGCACCCTAATTCATGACTGGTCGCCAGCCTTGCTAAAATTTTATCTCAATGCGTTCCAGATGACTCTCCCAGATCAGAGTAATTTAGTAAGATGGGGTAAAGGTACCGAAAAAACTTGCTATATCTGCGGAAAGGCAGTTGGAACTGCCAAGCATTTGCTGGTGGGATGTAAGGTTCTCCTGGACAGCGGTCAATACTCGCGTCGTCACGATAGGGTTTTAGAGATCATACGTGAAGCGGTTAGTCTTTCGGTAGCCAGAGCGCAAAGGGAAATAACCACAAACGAGCGATCAATAGGTTTTGTGAGAGAGGGCACCAGGGCTATAAAATCAAACGTCAAGCCTTACTCTATCCTTAAAGCGGCTTCGGATTGGACTATCATGATGGATACGTATGAGAAACAATACAAAATCCCCGAGGATATTTGTGCGTCGGCCTCCAGACCAGACATATTTCTATATTCGCGTATTTTAAAGCGCGTTGTGATGATAGAGCTTACGGTGCCTTGGGAAACCAACATCCCCAAAGACCATGCCATCAAGGTCAATAAGTATTACGAGCTCACTAACGAACTAACTCGAAATAGGTTCGTCGTTGATTTGTACGCGGTAGAGGTGGGAGCGAGAGGTATCACAGCTAAATCTCTCTATAACCTACTAAAAGACTTGGGCCTGTCCAGAACTAACATTAATTCATTCTTAGAACGTACGTCGAAGGCAGCCCTAGTAGGTTCTTTTCAAATTTGGTTAGGTAGGGAGAGGAACTTGGACAGTGGAGGTGAGCGTATAACGCGCGTTAGTTAAGGGGCCCCTTAAACCTACACCTGGGTCGCAAGTCCCAGGCACTGTTGAAGCTCCTCTCCCTGCAACGCAATGGACCCGGCACCCGCACGGTGAATCCATTGAATGCTAAGAGGTTTCGTCTCTGTCAATCATTCTGTCGCACTTCAAAACACGGAGATTACTGGCTTACAGGTAAACTCCAAAAATATAAATAAAAAAACGTAATAGATATTTCTTGATTATAGGGCGATACGAAGTTCGCCGGGTCTTCTAGTACTAAATACATTTAATTAATTGAAGCGGAGTTAGAATAAATGGTTTGAAAATTGCGTCTATTTTGAATTTATTACAATTTTCTATTCCATAGTCTAACAAAACATAATACATATTTGTTATCTCCGTTAAAATTCTTTATATAGATATATTAACAAAGTATATATTTTTTGAATTACTTTGCCGAAAAAATCCTTATTTTTTATTTTAGTGTATCTTGTATCACCCTCACTTCTAAGTCGAATCTATTCATAGCCTCGTATAAAGAAATGACACACTTTAGGATGTAGGGCGTGCCAAAAAATATACATACATGCAATAGTTACATACATTTGAAACACATAGCCTTCTTTAGCAATCGGTAAAAATATAATTAATTAATTCATTAATTAATTATTTTTTCATGTTTATCATTATGAAAATAAAATCCTTATTTTCATAATATATAAGGATTTATAGTTGAATATACGTTTTATATTTGAAAAACTTTATAATTTTTTGTTGCTTTTGCGAAGGTACTTTGCAGGTTGCTTACGTAAGTACGTTGGATACGTTGGAGTGAGACGATTTTGTTCTTTTTTGTTGAATTTCAGTTAAAAAGAAAGTTACCAAAACAATTTGCTAGTGTTTCTAACGAGAATTGAGAAGTTAAATTACTATATAAAAAATAAAAAAGCAACTATTTTTATACTCGAACAATCGAATGAAATTCCTCTAAAGTTTGTCATACATACTTCTTATCAGCACCGAAAATCTAAATACCTACAAAAAATACAAAGAAGTTCTTCATGTAAAGTTTTAACAAACCAAACGTAAAGTCACACATGTATTAAATTAATCGTATCTAGACTCTAGAGACTATGTACTTAGGATAACTTTAAGATTATTTATTCTAAAATAGAGAAATATTTCTATTTGGTATAATATAATCTTCAAATTGACTCAGATAAATTGGCATTAATATAATTAATTGTATCACTTTCGCCACACAACCCTTTAATAGCAAATTATCTGTTATGCACCTGTCAAGTTTTTGTATATTTTGTAAACTCACAGTGCCTTTCCTTAGACGCTCGTATGATACTTTCTTTTTTTTAAATATACATACTTCTAAATTATTCCAAATAAATATAAAAAACGAATTACTTTTCAAGAACTACGCGTATGCTGTTCTCATCAACGGTTTTTAAAATTTGTATCTTTATTCTTAAAACATTCAACCGTCATCCTAATTAAATACAACTTATTTTAAGGCCACGATCTTAACAATAATTGCCATAAATCTTACACTACTTGTTCAAACGAAATGTCCACAAAACGTTTTAAACAACCAACGTCCAGCAGGTGTCCAAGTACTTTGCTACGTCATGTGGGTCACTAGCTCATCAAAAACGCCGCCCCTGTTTCAATCCTGGTATAGATGTCAATGATCTAAATATGAAGCGGTGCGAGTGGCTTGGACTAAATATTATAACAATATTTGGATGCAATTATATTTTAAATATTAACCTACTTCTTAGAACTACACCTTTTTATATTTTATTTAAATAATCGGTTGTAAATACCTTTGTTTTTTCCACCACAATTTATTCGAGTAAAATTGTTTGTAAAATATTATAATATTCATTTATTAAGCAAAACGCTATTATGCCCATAATAATATTGTAAACTATTTGATAACAAATATTAATAATGAAATGCTACTTATCAATGTGCAAGTTTATGGCAACTAATTATTCATGACTATCCAAATAGGATTAATATAACAGATAGAACTTCGATGCATAACTTCAATTAATAAAGTACAACTAACTTAATGTAAAAAACTAATAGTCAAAGATGACAGTCCAAATTATTATAATAACTTTACCAGATATATAGTAATATATTTAACTCACCTTGCTTTTCGTTTCTCCGCGGGGGTGCAGGAATTGCAGTGATATTCGCAAATAGCGCCCACGCGCAAATAAAAGCTGTTGCGCGTGTATGCGCCATGCGTGCGGTTTGTAAGACGACTGCTGTGGACACTGGACCGTCTAATACTTGATACTTGATGTTCCCAGTCTCATCCCGGTGTCGGAAATTCCGCTTAAACTAATATAAGATCGTACCTATTATAAGTATTTGATATTAGCTTAACACTGAAAAGTATGAGAAATTAAGTAAGGAAGGATTTTTATAAATTTATTTCGTAAATGTGTTTTTTGTTTTGTTACGAGTTTTATAACCATGCTTACTTAATTGAAAAGTAATTCTGCAATGAAAAGTTTATGAAATGATATACTGAATAAAATACCAGTAAAAAAAGTACAACTACTTAAAGGTAAAAGTTTAGTTCTGCACAAATTAAATGACATAAAATAAAAACCCCATAACTTGTTCCATGATAGAAGAAATTCGATATGAATAATAATAATTAATAAAAACCTTTATTAATAAAAATTCCCACTATTTCAAAAGTAACCTATGTGTTTTTATTATTTTCTTTAGGATTTAAAGTGATGAAAATACCTTACAAGGGTGCACCCGAATGAAGAGGCGACGTTTCTTTTGAATTCATTCAAACACAACGGAGCTCATTTCTATAAAACTGTAAGGAACTGTTTGAAACCTAGTCATGATATACAATTACACTAGCCAAACCACAATGAGATACCCAAATTAGCTATTATTTTCGATAGATCCCATTGTTTTTCCAGATAACCATTTTTTATTATTATTTTATTTTTTATTGAGATTATACCTGTCCATCAAAAACGAATCGGAATATCCTTTTTTGAAGATGGTTAAAAACCAGTACCTAATGTATTATGTATACGTTTACCTTTATATAAATAGAATACAAATTTGCTTCTATATTTATAGAACCATTAACAATTTTTTTTTACATAAACTTTAACTTATTGCAAACTTTTTCGTTAAACAACTTCACCTCAACAAAGACAAGCTGTATTACTAGACATTTTGAATAATGTTAATCAAAATCATGCGCGTCATTTTGTCCTAAAAATTACAAGTATACCAAAATTAACAAGTGATAATATGATATTACAGAACAGCCATCGAGGTCATCCTGAACACAATTTGACGATTACTTTAAAAAAACTATTACAAGAAAATAAACGGCTCAGAAAAGAATTATTCGATGCAACAAACAAGCAACACCAGGAAATGTTCAGAGCCATACAACTTAAAGAAAAGCATTTTATCCTGTTAGAAAAATTACGTGAAGCTCAAATAGAGGTAAGTCTCTTAAGAGACTCGACGAAAATTTAAGAATTTATTAATTCAGAACATTTTTATACTAAAATTAGTTATAACAAATGTTTGTACAAGAAAAATTAACATCTCTTATGGCTGAAAACGAATTGCTCCAATACCATATCACTCAGTCACTAATAAAACGTCAAGAAGCAAGCAGAAATGCTGCGAAGTTAGCAGAAGCCAACTACTATTTAGAAGAAAATCTTAAAGAAACACGTAACGAAGTGAAAATGTTGATACGTAAAAATAAGTTTTTATTGTCACAGTGCGAAAAATCGTCGCAAGAAAAAGATTAGAATGTTGATTATAGCAATGAATCTTACTTAAGAAGATTGTACTCAACACACTTTTGAGCAAATTGTTTTCAGCATTTATTTGTAAACTTTGTAAAATCAATCCAGTCTATAAATTATAATGATTTCATTTGTATATACAAACATAATTTATAGGAAGGCAGAGATAACTGAAATACATAAATATATATACCTATGTCAAAACGTTTTCTTAAATTACTACAATAGATCAGCAGTTAGGTGTACATATTAATTGGACATTACCTGCTTTGTTATGTTCTTAACTGTATTCCGTTCTGTTCTTGATGAGCATCTACTACGTCATTTTCACATCTTTAAAAACATTACTTGAATTTTAATTTTGGCTAAGCACATACATCTCATACCCTATCAAACTTAAAACAATTGCCATATATCATTGAAAACATTTGTTCCTATCAAAAATATTTATAGGAAGAAATCTAGATTCATGAAAACTCTTCATAGATACTCAACTTATGCTCAGTAAGGCATATGTAAAAACATTACTTGAATTTTAATTTTGGCTAAGCACATACATCTCATACCCTATCAAACTTAAAACAATTGCCATATATCATTGAAAACATTTGTTCCTATCAAAAATATTTATAGGAAGAAATCTAGATTCATGAAAAATCTTCATAGATACTCAACTTATGCTCAGTAAGGCATATGTAAAAACATTACTTGAATTTTAATTTTGGCTAAGCACATACATCTCATACCCTATCAAACTTAAAACAATTGCCATATATCATTGAAAACATTTGTTCCTATCAAAAATATTTATAGGAAGAAATCTAGATTCATGAAAAATCTTCATAGATACTCAACTTATGCTCAGTAAGGCATATGTAAAAACATTACTTGAATTTTAATTTTGGCTAAGCACATACATCTCATACCCTATCAAACTTAAAACAATTGCCATATATCATTGAAAACATTTGTTCCTATCAAAAATATTTATAGGAAGAAATCTAGATTCATGAAAAATCTTCATAGATACTCAACTTATGCTCAGTAAGGCATATGTAAAAACATTACTTGAATTTTAATTTTGGCTAAGCACATACATCTCATACCCTATCAAACTTAAAACAATTGCCATATATCATTGAAAACATTTGTTCCTATCAAAAATATTTATAGGAAGAAATCTAGATTCATGAAAAATCTTCATAGATACTCAACTTATGCTCAGTAAGGCATATGTAAAAACATTACTTGAATTTTAATTTTGGCTAAGCACATACATCTCATACCCTATCAAACTTAAAACAATTGCCATATATCATTGAAAACATTTGTTCCTATCAAAAATATTTATAGGAAGAAATCTAGATTCATGAAAAATCTTCATAGATACTCAACTTATGCTCAGTAAGGCATATGTAAAAACATTACTTGAATTTTAATTTTGGCTAAGCACATACATCTCATACCCTATCAAACTTAAAACAATTGCCATATATCATTGAAAACATTTGTTCCTATCAAAAATATTTATAGGAAGAAATCTAGATTCATGAAAACTCTTCATAGATACTCAACTTATGCTCAGTAAGGCATATGTAAAAACATTACTTGAATTTTAATTTTGGCTAAGCACATACATCTCATACCCTATCAAACTTAAAACAATTGCCATATATCATTGAAAACATTTGTTCCTATCAAAAATATTTATAGGAAGAAATCTAGATTCATGAAAAATCTTCATAGATACTCAACTTATGCTCAGTAAGGCATATGTAAAAACATTACTTGAATTGTAATTTTGGCTAAGCACGTACATCTCATACCCTATCAAACTTAAAACAATTGCCATATATCATTGAAAACATTTGTTCCTATCAAAAATATTTATAGGAAGAAATCTAGATTCATGAAAACTCTTCATAGATACTCAACTTATGCTCAGTAAGGCATATGTAAAAACATTACTTGAATTTTAATTTTGGCTAAGCACATACATCTCATACCCTATCAAACTTAAAACAATTGCCATATATCATTGAAAACATTTGTTCCTATCAAAAATATTTATAGGAAGAAATCTAGATTCATGAAAAATCTTCATAGATACTCAACTTATGCTCAGTAAGGCATATGTAAAAACATTACTTGAATTTTAATTTTGGCTAAGCACATACATCTCATACCCTATCAAACTTAAAACAATTGCCATATATCATTGAAAACATTTGTTCCTATCAAAAATATTTATAGGAAGAAATCTAGATTCATGAAAAATCTTCATAGATACTCAACTTATGCTCAGTAAGGCATATGTAAAAACATTACTTGAATTTTAATTTTGGCTAAGCACATACATCTCATACCCTATCAAACTTAAAACAATTGCCATATATCATTGAAAACATTTGTTCCTATCAAAAATATTTATAGGAAGAAATCTAGATTCATGAAAAATCTTCATAGATACTCAACTTATGCTCAGTAAGGCATATGTAAAAACATTACTTGAATTTTAATTTTGGCTAAGCACATACATCTCATACCCTATCAAACTTAAAACAATTGCCATATATCATTGAAAACATTTGTTCCTATCAAAAATATTTATAGGAAGAAATCTAGATTCATGAAAACTCTTCATAGATACTCAACTTATGCTCAGTAAGGCATATGTAAAAACATTACTTGAATTTTAATTTTGGCTAAGCACATACATCTCATACCCTATCAAACTTAAAACAATTGCCATATATCATTGAAAACATTTGTTCCTATCAAAAATATTTATAGGAAGAAATCTAGATTCATGAAAAATCTTCATAGATACTCAACTTATGCTCAGTAAGGCATATGTAAAAACATTACTTGAATTGTAATTTTGGCTAAGCACGTACATCTCATACCCTATCAAACTTAAAACAATTGCCATATATCATTGAAAACATTTGTTCCTATCAAAAATATTTATAGGAAGAAATCTAGATTCATGAAAACTCTTCATAGATACTCAACTTATGCTCAGTAAGGCATATGTAAAAACATTACTTGAATTTTAATTTTGGCTAAGCACATACATCTCATACCCTATCAAACTTAAAACAATTGCCATATATCATTGAAAACATTTGTTCCTATCAAAAATATTTATAGGAAGAAATCTAGATTCATGAAAAATCTTCATAGATACTCAACTTATGCTCAGTAAGGCATATGTAAAAACATTACTTGAATTTTAATTTTGGCTAAGCACATACATCTCATACCCTATCAAACTTAAAACAATTGCCATATATCATTGAAAACATTTGTTCCTATCAAAAATATTTATAGGAAGAAATCTAGATTCATGAAAACTCTTCATAGATACTCAACTTATGCTCAGTAAGGCATATGTAAAAACATTACTTGAATTTTAATTTTGGCTAAGCACATACATCTCATACCCTATCAAACTTAAAACAATTGCCATATATCATTGAAAACATTTGTTCCTATCAAAAATATTTATAGGAAGAAATCTAGATTCATGAAAACTCTTCATAGATACTCAACTTATGCTCAGTAAGGCATATGTAAAAACATTACTTGAATTTTAATTTTGGCTAAGCACATACATCTCATACCCTATCAAACTTAAAACAATTGCCATATATCATTGAAAACATTTGTTCCTATCAAAAATATTTATAGGAAGGAATCTAGATTCATGAAAAATCTTCATAGATACTCAACTTATGCTCAGTAAGGCATATGTAAAAACATTACTTGAATTTTAATTTTGGCTAAGCACATACATCTCATACCCTATCAAACTTAAAACAATTGCCATATATCATTGAAAACATTTGTTCCTATCAAAAATATTTATAGGAAGAAATCTAGATTCATGAAAAATCTTCATAGATACTCAACTTATGCTCAGTAAGGCATATGTAAAAACATTACTTGAATTTTACTTTTGGCTAAGCACATACATCTCATACCCTATCAAACTTAAAACAATTGCCATATATCATTGATAACATTTGTTCCTATCAAAAAAATTTGTAAGAAGAAATCTAGATTCATGAAAAATGTTCATAGATACTTAACTCATACTCAGCTTACTGAGGGATAAGTCTAGCTCAATACAATAAATGATAATCATCCATATTCTATAATCGTCAGATAATTCCGCGTAACTGCATTGAAAGCAGATTATCAGGAGAAAGTTTACACTGAAATATTTTCTATATTAACGACTTTTAAGGTATTTTTTTCACAATGAGTAATAAATTAAACAATAAATAATTACTAATTGAGAAAATATTACCTTAAAGGTTGTTAATATAGAAAATATTTCAGCTCAAACTTTTTTCTGATAATCTGCTTCCAATGTAGATACGTGGAATTATCCAATGGTAGTTACGTGGATTTGCACTATCCCTGTTGATAATGATTCTATATAATCAGTACAGCGGGACAAATAAAAATGATCCATTTGTAGTAAGTCATTTATTAACTTATTCCCTCATCATCTTCTCCTTCTGGCGGGCCAGCTTCTTCTTGGACAGTTTCTTCTTGGGCGCGTCGTCTGTGGGAGCGGCTCTTGCTACAGCATCCTCCCTCTCACTGAGACACACTTCAATGTGGCAGGGAGATGACATATAAGGATTGATACGACCGTGGGCACGATATGTACGACGGCGTAGACAAGGGGCGCGATTCACCTGGAAATTGATAAAATATATTTATTATTATAAGTAACCCAAGTTGGAAAACATCGTGAGGAAACCTGGACTTATAGTTTCACAATTATAAGTTTGAAATCACCAACCCGTCTTGAACAAGTGTGGTGATTAATGCTCAAACCTTCTCCATGTGAGAAGAGGCCTTACAGCAGTGGGCTCTGATAGGCTGATGACATGACAACCCAAGTTGATTGTAAAGCTTAATTTTGATCGGATATATATTTTGTTCATATTTTAAAGTAGCTTTACTTAATTAGATGGCATTAAGATTGGTTCAAATTAAAAAAATATTGATGGAACATTATTATTTTGAAATAAGTTTTGAAATGTTCTATTTATTAACAACTATCTAATTAATAAGCATAAGCCTTAATTAATATTAAGAATTATCTACTTATTTAAACTCATCTCAGGAAAGAAATTGTTTCTTGCCTCCATTGAAATTAATGGATATATATACTGTTAAAACACTTTCGTTTTGATGTACATTTAAAAAATCACATTTTATATGAATAGATGCCATTGCATTATATCTTATATACCTATAATAATAATTGATACTTAATTTTGAAACGAATTCAACGAATACAAGTAGAATATCAAATTAATAGTAAAATGTTAATGTAAGTAACAAAAAGTTTCAATAACCAAGTATAGGTGTATTTTATTCATTATTGTTACTTAATTTAATATTTGCCTTCTGAAAACAGAATGTATCATAGAATATACACTGTCAAGCAAGATAGGCATAATCACTCTAATACTGAGATATAGATACATACAAAATAACTTATGTTTGTTATGCTAAATTTTTGTACAATAAGACTATATTAACATATTATATGCATTGTGGTAAGTAGCAAGACTGAATGACAGAACTAATATAATAAAATGATTTACCTACATTATATTTGATATAATATTATTATTTACCAATATTGAGCAAAGTGCAACTAAAACATAACACAAATATATATTTGTCGTCAGTACTTATATGAGTCGTCAGTATATTATTGAAGCTTAAATAGATTGAAATAAAGTTCAAAGTCAAGCAATAATTGTTGAAAATAACTTCTACTTTGTGCCTAAAATTATGTATATAAATTTGCTTTATATACATGAATAATTTTAATGACATGCTAGAAACTTCAACTAACCTCTACTCATATATTTTGGAAATCAGAAATACTTTAAACTATTATGCTAGTACTTTATTAATCTTAAATTCTTAACATATTGTTGATGCAAGTTTATTTATAATGCAAGATGAAATCAATCATTCCATTGACTGTTTAAAATACAGGAAAAACATTTAAAACTGAGTTAGTGTTTTAACAATAATGTTATGAAATCAATTATAAATAAATTTTGTTCATAATCTTTTTAGATGGTTAGTTTTATATTATAAATTCAAAATATAGTAACATTTATAACATTAAAAACTATAAGTCATAAGAGCCAGTTATAATATCAAAACTAAAGATTTAGCTTGATTATAGTATTCCTTAATGATTACTTATTCATATGTGATTTGGTGTAGAGAACAAATACATACAAATTTTTCACCTTTTCTAAATCAATTTTGCTTCAATTCAAGTACAGTAGAAACTCAATTATCCAGACAAGAAAGAATGTCAAAGCGTAAGAGAGTGGTCTTGTTGAAAATGGCGTACATCAAATGACAATTACCAAATATTCTAAACTAAATTATACTTATTATTATAATTCATGATTACCAATTTCAAATTACCAAATACATATTGTAATTTATTTTTTAAATAAACATATAATATTATGTACTACATATGCACAAAACTGGCTATTCTTCATACATTCGGTTATCCAGATTTTCGATTATCCGAATGCCTATTGACAACAATTGGTCTGGTTAATAGAGTTTCTACTGTAATAGTAACTTAATACTATGAATTATAAGTGTATATGAAATAAATACATATAATTTACGTATATATTTAATTATGATGTCTTAACTAACCTGTATGTGGTCAATGACAAGCCTGTCGGCGTCCAATCCCTTCACGTCAGCGTTAGATTCAGCGTTCCTCAATAGCTGTAGGAGGAACTCAGCGGATTTCTTCGGCCAGCGACCTTGTGTTGTGCCGAACTGCTTGGCTTGAGCACATCGACCCACTCCACCGTTGAACCGACGGAATGGTATGCATTCTTTTTTGTCTACTACATTTTTTAAGTAACGTACAGCACGACGAAGCGGCAGCTTCTTAATTGCCATGGCTGTTTCGTATGTGTTCTGAAAATGATAGTGAAACGATGAGTAAACACTCCATGTGGAGTTTGATATATTTTTTAATATTTACACGTACCTTGAAGTGAACACGGAGGTTTGAGCCACGCGCCTTGCATGATTTGGCGGGATTGTCAGGCTCACGAGAATAACGACCCATTTTTGTTACTGAAACAGAGCGGTAATGTCACTATCACGAACTGAGGTTATTTACAAATAAAATTAAAATATTGTCACAGAAACACTAAAATAAACATATATTTAACATTATTACACTCCTTATTATTGTACCATAGGCGGTTTAAACATATATTTCAGTATTTATTTGGATTAAAACGGATTTTCAATATAAGCAACCAACCTCTCAATAGATATTTTAGCAGGAAAAGGAATAGACAACAAAATTTGACACTTTATTGAAGTTTGACAGATGACGTTTCAATATTGCCATGTCTAGTGTAGTATTATAGCAATCAGAAATAAAACGTTGAATTGAATACCGACAAATATTATTAGTTTTAGTATTATTTAATTAATTTATATGATAACCATATGTTGTCCAAAACTTTTTTAAAAATATAGGGAATATATTGTTTTTTTAACATTTAAGCTTACAAATATTTTGATATTTGATGTATGAGAAATTGTGTGTCACATATTAGCTAAAATCACGCAAAGAAATAGTCAATAACTTTAGCATCAACTAAATCATATGATATTACTATTAAGCATACGAAATCTAATAATTTCTTGATTGGAAGGAAAATATTTTGTTCGTGCCTAAAATTTATAGTGATTAATTAATTCTTTCTTTTTTAAATCTGCTTATTTAGCGGAAAATATAAAAAACTCGATTTATGAAATACTTTTAAAAATAGAGTTTAAATGGTATATTTTGGTCCTGAATACAATACGTTAAACCAGTTTAAAACTTCAACCTTTAATTGCTTTTAAGTTATGGGGCCATACCATGAGATCTCAATTTACAAAAATTAATAAAAAAAATCATCAACAAACTTCATTACTTTATCGAGCATATGAAAATCTTTGATATTCTATAACTTTGCTGGTAAATTTTTTACGTTTTTGTGAACTCATACTTCCAGAGTACATATTTGCTTTTTTTTCTCTGAGGATTTTTTACTCTTTTATAATTATACTTTTATTATTATGCATTTTTCTTATTAAAGAAAGGTAGGTATATATCATATTTATTCTATAATAAAACAACAAAATTTGTTATCTTCGTGTTATATTAAGTGCCACTAGAGTAATTTATTAAATACGAAGGTAATAGATATCTACATACAAGTTATGATATGTATTTAGGACTCAAATAATACAATGAACATACTACATAAAGCATTTAACATTCAAAGTCATTACAGGTACAAATAATAACGATGAAATAATTTCAGCTGACTAGAGAGCTTAGTTTTAATTACAGTAAATATTTACAATTAACATACTATATAAATTTAATACTTTGGCAATAGATGCCGGCTGTAGAATCTTTATTTATGTAAAATTAAATAGTAAAAAGAAATGAATTAAATTCATTAATTCATATTAATTGCTTCGATACACATCCTATAAGATAAATCAGTATCTACAAGTAATTAATCTACATAACTATGACTAGATTGGTAACAGTTTATTCTTTCTAATATTATAAATGTTTTATTTTTGAAGCATGGCAACATTAGTGCTAAGACATTTCATAATAGTGCCATCTACCGGATTCTTCTTAAACTATTATTGCTGCTTCGTTTCGTTGTTAGTGCGGCGCGGTGGTAGGTGGCGGTAGCAGCGTTAAAGGTGCCACGCAAGCTGCACAGCTTTCCCTCTCTAGAAGTATACATATTATTATCAAATTAAATACATTTTATAGTTCATTAAAAAATATATTTCAATAAACAGTGTATGAGATAATTATGAATAATTAGTAAATAGTTATTATACGTTACTGAAACACATACATTTTTTGTGTATTGCGTACATATTATTATTTTTGTGTGTATAAATGCAGTAGTTGGACGCGTCCTTCTAGTTTAGATAATCTATCATAAAGATCAATATTAATTGGTCATATGTCAGGTGTTTTTTAATTGATTTTAACAAAGTTTTAAATAGCAAAATATCACTTTATTTACAGCATAAACGTATGGTATATAATGAAAATATACAATATAAGCGGAGATGTTATTAAAATCATCTGTAGAACTAGATCGATGCCGTCGCTAGGCGTTTAATCTGTATAATTGCGGCGCGTCGTAACGACCAATTAGCCAAAACGACTCAACGGTAAACATGACTTTAATATGTATAGACTTATGTTGTGAGGTGTGATTGAATAGGCGTTCTAAAATTAAGAACCAAAAATAAACTTTCATAGAATGATAATTGTATGATATTTAGTACTGAACGATTTGAGTGACTGTCCTTATTTATAAGATTTTGTATAAAGGAGTCTTTGTCTGACATAAAATAAAATATCAATAAAGTTTTTTCTTGCTAGAATATTTACATTATGCCGGCCATACACGTTAGAGTTTACTTGTGTAAGTCCTGACTTATAAGTGTACTGTAACGTATATTAGAAGAAAACTGCGTAAATTTCCGACTTGCACAAGTTCTTAAAAAGGTTCCGAATTCAATTGCCGACTCGAGCAGGTTTTCATGAACGTGTGTGGCAGAAACTTCATTTCGTGCCATTTTCAGTTTTGTTTCAGCCAACTAAATTTGTACGTCATTTTGGCGCCAAATTGAACTAAGCTATAAAGGCATGGAGTTGGTTCTATAACAGAAGAATTAATACATATATACCTATAGGAATGAGCCATATCTTTGACAAAGAAAAGAGACAAAAAAGTTAGCCGGTCTTCTGTGAAGATAATTCGGTATCTCTTCTGAATTTTCAGTTATTTTTGTCTCGAAAAAAATGCAACTACTGCTATGTTATGCGTAGTATAACTAGCTCGCTACATGTACGCACATTTGAACAAGTATCACTAAAATGTCATTTTTGTAAGCATGCTTGTGCCGTTTGTGGTCATCTCCGACATAAGTGTTTGCAAGTCTGGACTTGCAAGTATTTAGCCTAGGTAGTGTGACATGTGAAGCCGGCGTAATATTAAAATTGGCAAATATTGTTTACAGATAATATGGAGAACATATTATACAGATTATATTTTATAATGTAAATAATTTATCTGTAACTAATTTGCAAGTCTGGACTTGTTTCAAGTATACTTTAACGTGTGTAGTCTGATTAAATTGTAATTGACACCTACGTTTAAAGATTATATTAAGAACACATACAGATTATATAGTATAATATAAATGTATGATCTATAACTAGTGTTGTACATTGATAGTCCACTATCGATAGTATCGATGGCACTTCCTAAACAATACTATAGAGAGTGGTAATACGATCGATACTTTCGATAGTTATACCTTCAATACTATCGATAGCCAAACTATCGATGTTTCTGCAGCACTATCTGTAACAAATTGACAATTGACATTACCGCGGTCATGCAAATAATGAAGCGGCGGGCGTAGATCAGGCAGTCGCCACGGTTCCTCTTCCCTCTCTACCTTGGGAACCAGCGCCCCCCACTCCTCACGTGGCTTGGGTATACCACGACACGGCCAGGTACATCTCTGTAAGATTACGTCATTATAAGGACTTATTACGAAAATAAACTGGGTTATATGTTCGATATATTTTAGTTTAGATCCAAATTTAAGTGTGAATAAATATTGAAAATTAAAAGAAAAGGACGAAATATTAGCGATGTGTCTGAAATTTAATATCTAAGCTAATATATCAGTACCTAAGTTAAAATCAGCAAGTTAAAAGGTTGACAAATAAATTATGGATCCGCACGGCGAATCCATTGGATGCTAAGAGGTTTTGTCTAAAATGTTAAAGATCTGCAGTTTTGATTTTTGAGGTCGTTATATCAAAGGTAATTGATCCATTTTAACAATATCTTAGTTCTTTTTCTTTTCGACTATAATTAGCTAAAGTTTACTAGAAAAGATGTAATGGTTTTTTTTAATTAAATTCTTTCACATACAAAGTGCTAACGTGTGTAGAGACGAATGCGGACAAAATGAATAAAATCGGTATTCGGTAGTGACACTACATTAATGTATAGATTTGTGAAAACATGTACCTACGTATGCATATTTGATCTTTCATTCTCAAAATTAGTTTACGGATTTAAATGAACTTTATAAATCCTAGCTTAAAAATCACAATGAGACAATAAGTATACAGATTACAGTTTATCCCGGAATTTCAAAAATATCGAGCGGGAACCAGGCATAACACTTTAATATTGCATGAAATCACCAGAAAGATTGTATATTTCTAAACACACTTCATTTAATTTGTCTATTATATACAACCTAATCACTAAGTTCGCGCGGTAAAAGTCGCGGGAAAAAACTAGAAAATTTACATAACCCAATCGATACACCATTCCGTGTCAGAATTCAGTGTGTCAATTAAACACACGAGAGGAACACAACATATTATATTATATCAGATAAAACACGAAACAACGATTACAATAATAACTATCACTTAACTAATAACGGTGAGCTATAATTAAAACGATTTTTGTATTGACTTTGACAGTACTAATACTTTGACAATATGAAACGAATATTTTCGGATTTACTACGCGATTTTTCATTTATGACTATAAACTACATACTCCCGACGTTTCGGCTACTTTACAGCAACCGTGATCACGGACAGACGAGATAAAAAATCGCGTAGTAAATCCGAAAATATTAGTTTCATTTAAATGAGTACTCGCGAAAATGTTAGATCTCATTACTTTGACAGCACTCACGCTTTGACAATTAAAATTTTGACGTTTTGTCATATAGAATACTGAAGATTATATTTTAAACTTAAAAGTGATTTTGAGCCAATATTTATATTAAAATATGAGTAATATAGTTAAATAATTAGTTTTTGATATTTCAGAGATAGCATAACTCGAATCCTATTTTCGAATGACTTTTTTATTCTATTTTTGTAATTAAAATATTCATATGAATAAAATATTCAAGATATTAAAGACTTTATTTAAATGTATAAGACATTATTATGTAATAATATAATGTTTACTTTGCTGTTTATTTATAATATAATATGAATGTATTAAATATAATTATATAGAGGCTCACAATCAACAGTTCACTTAAAGTCACGCTTATACTGACATAACATACAAAGCTCACAGTAATTATTGTTGTTTAATTTTAAAGCAATCAAGTTGACATGCAGATCTTGTAATGTTATAGAGGTGGCTAACATTTATTTTATTTTCATATAAAAAATAATATTCATATATTTATATAAACTAACTAACAATAGATAAGACTAGGTACTATTTTTTTAAAAATTTTATAATAATTATTTGAAAATATTCTCGAGATTCCAAATAACTTTATATGTTTATTTTCCTTTTTATTAATGATATTTCTATAGAGTTTTATTTGTGAACTAATTCATCATGTGATGTGGTAGTCACTCTAAACGTTGTCAGCTCTACGGTAAGCTCATATATAATTCACTGATATTTCCGTGTAATTATATAAGTATCGCGTTGTTTGAATCGATTGTGTTTTATTCAATAAATAAATCAAGGGGCTATTAACTTTCATAATAATAGTATAACGCACGCATCACTTCAAAGAGTTATGTTATTTTGTTGTTTAAATATATACAACTCTTCTTTTCAAGCTATGTATTTTCAAGCTACGTATACAAATTAGGCTCTGCTCTGATTGGGAAAAGGCTATTAGGTCGTTTTTATCTATATCAAATTGTCTCAATATTTTATCTTTTGGCATTCAATAATCCGTATGTCGCCTAACATTGAATGGCGAAATTAATGTTCCGAGCCAAGCGTTACCAATAAAAATGGATCGAAATGTCATACGAATGAGGTCCGTAAATAAAAAAACTAAATGTCAAGCCGGCATTTGTAACCGAAACTGTTCGCGTAGGGGATGTTTTAAAAACAAACAATATGGAAACATCATTTTTGTTTACTTTTATCTAGATATAGAAACTTTTTTAATTGCATTTACATATTCATGTATTGTCTATTGACAGCGCCTGTCAGATATGACATATAGCCGATCGAATGTCAAAAAAGTCGATTCAAGTAAAGATGAATATTTCTGATAACATAACACTTTGAGACAATTGGATTAAAGAATACTATATTGATAAGCATCGCGTTCTTTGTTTTATTAAATTCAATACATTAATGGTGACACATGTTTGTATTTTTTTTATTATTTACTTTAATTCAAAGAAGTTTGGAGTACCTATTATATTGATAAAACCTTTTTTTAATTTTCTATTTTAGCCTTAATATATTCCGTAAAATTGTTGCGGTTTTTTTTTGTTAAAATATCCTCCGTATTATATTTTTGGTTTTACATGAGTTAATTATTACTGTATACGAAAAACTGATACAAAATATATATAAATTAACACCCTATATATAGGATATCTAGAATTTAATCGCTACACATTTGTTAATAAGAACTAAATTGCAATAAATTATATTCAAATTATCGATAAAAAGTCACTTACACAACACAATCTTGGACATATAAATTAAACCATCTCTCTAAAACCTTCCTATAAAACTTGCCAATCAATTTTGAACTCTATAAACCAGAAGCTTGTCCAATATATTTATTACTTTATACTTAACTTAAGGCCCATTGTACATAAGCGTTAGAGCAATGAATGAGACAGTCTAGTAATTAACGCGCCTGAAGAACCCTTCCCTTAATACCCTACCCCTACAAAGGCGGGGGCTGAACCGAAAATTATATAATCACTCATAATCGACACTTTATAACGATGAGATGTATATTGAGATTTGAGAGTCTTCATGCGGACTCATAAAGTAATGATTAATTATTATATAAGATAATATTGCTTTTATTATGTGTGTGTGAGTGCGTATGTAGGTGTGAGTGGCTTATGTATGTGTGAGTATGTTATGTATATGAATCTTTGAGTTTGTTTTAGCTAGAATATTTTGGATTAGTTTTTGTACTGTAATACAGTGTGATCAGTAGTAAAAACAATCCTATTTAAATGATAAAAAAATTCTAATTATCACTTTCCTTAAATCGTAAAATGAAAGGAGGAAAGTAGTCTACGCATATAAAAACACAACAGCAAAATTTTAAAATTATTATCTTTGTTCACTCACAATATATTCAAACGTTAACTTAATTAGAAGAATTTAATGAAGCAATTTAATTAGAAGAATCATATGTATCATATATATCAGCATTAATAACTGATGAAACATATAAACATATATACAAATAACTTGAGGCTGTCATCAAGTAATATAAAAACTAATTAGTATTCATGATTATTGTGAAAAGTAAAACGAAACCAAAAACTGTTTAAAAGGAGAATAGAACTATATTTGAATCTTGTTTTATTTATATGACGTCTGGACGGACGACGGCAGAGTTCTATGCGTGCGTATCATTGAAGTATGTTATTATGAAGAACCTTCGAGAAATACAGGAGCATTAAGAACAATTGAAGTTTCATTTTAAATATGGAACGTACTGAAAGAAATGACATTAGTGACGTCAGCAATTATAGCGTCTCTAAAAATAACGATATTTCTATCTCTTTCTCTCCCTATCTCTCTCTCTCTCTACACATACAAACAATATTCGAATATTTAATCACTTAGCGTATAGAGATTAATTCTAAATCTGATTCCGGTCTAGATGAAAAGAGGCTTAGTCCGCTAGCAGGGCTCTCGACTTAACGAACGATTTGTTCCCTTTAATAAACAAATTAAATACGTAAAATGTACTAACAAAATTCAGATGATGTTTCTTGTTATAATAATAATAATTTTACTTATTAGATGGCGTTTGATATACTCATATACATATTTATGATTTTTTAAACCATTTTTTTGTCTACATAGAAATAACATCGTGGATTGTTAATTAGATGTTATTCATTTTGTTCGACTAAAATATTAATAACGTTTTGTTATACATAAAAAAAAATTGAAACTATTACAATAATTACCCTTACAAAGGAAATTTTATATATTTGACGTAAAACGAATATATCATTAAAAATATAAATTTCTGTAAGCTATTCAAGTATTTATATAAAAATCTAAGCTCGATAAAGCACTAAGTTAAACTGACGCGCGCTTTACAAACAGGGGCGCGTGCACAAACAACTTATGAGCTAAGATGATTTGATAAATTGAAACGTTATTATTTATGTGATAATATATTAATTATTATCATTGATAATTTATTAATTGCTATGAAATTGATAAATAAATGTATATTTATTTAATATAGATATGTATATTGGACATAACATAAATATAAAACAAGATTTTTTTATAAGAATTAAATAGAAATCAATTAAAGATAGTTACATACTCACAATTGGTGTTAATTAGTTAAAAATTAAAAAAAACAACTATTTTTTTTTCGGTAACATTATTGTAATTATTTTTGCAACGCGATGGACCCGGATCTCGCACGTTGAATCCATGGGATGCTGAGATGTTTCGTCTCAATAGCTTGCGAAATCGTATTTTTTAATTTGATAATACTAGACTTACTTATATATTAAACGATGTGCTACGGTACGCTTAGAAAACTCGCAACTAGCTATAAAACAAAAAACCTATATGAATGTAACATAACGAATGTATGGACCAGAATAGAGTTACTAAAATACGAAAACATTTAGAAGTATTAACCAAAAATTACCTACCTCGATATCAAATACAATACAAATTATAATCATACATATTGTTGGTTTGTATTAAGTATAAAAAACTAACAAACAAGCTAACAGTACCGAAAAGACGTATCGCGTAATTCTCAGGACATATCAAATCACGCGGGTATGCCCGTCACGTACTTAATAGGTGCTTCGCTAGACGATTCAATTGCCGACTTGATGTCCTTATAAATCACTGTACTATTTACGTTTATACTTTTTACGTGTTCTCTTTACGTCTACTATACGTAATATAGATACAACAGTTCCTTCCCTATTGCTTCCTTTGTATATAGACTTTTTATATGGAACTATTCACATCGGAACATTTATATACGAAGTATTTACACTAAATATTATAAAATTTCCATATATATGGCATATTAATGACAATAATGCATAAAAAACATAATATATTTTTATTTAATCAAATAATTGGCAAAATTCATTATCAACAAACTTTCCTGTCAGATTTATTGCCAGTTACAAAAAAAGAAATTTATATTTCATTAATAATGCCAATATATAAATTTAATATTAAATATTTTTTTAAATAAACACTAAGATATTAATGTGTATAGATACCGGAGGCGTGTTTTAATTGAATCGAATATAAATGACATATGCACACTCTAGGGACTAGGGATGCTTGTTAATTACACGCTTCACGTACATACAATGTTACTGATTCACTATTAATAATACCGAATATGCATACTTATTATTTAATCTTATAGAAAATATGTGCAATATATTCAATGATTTTTTTATGACATGCAGTAAGCAAGCGATTTTTTTTTTGGTAAAATTAATTTTACCTAAAAAAAATCACTAGAAATTTATGAATAAATATTGTCTATGCTTATATTGACATAATTATATAATCACTAAAAGTTTATTATTTATGATTTCATATAATCAAAGTTATACATATTTTAGTTATATCTCTCTATTTTATGTACCTTGTAATGTAAAAGGAACAAGCAATATAAAAGAACGCTACACAAAAGCTTATTCAAAGTTCAATAAAGACGGAAAAAAGTTCCGTTTTAGCTGAACAAAATCCCCAATTAATTGGCGCGGAATCAGATCAGTGCTAAATTAAACATTTTCTCTTATTTAAAACGAAAATGAAGTCCATTTGAATTCGGCACGTCAGTAATTACAGAGTTTACAACGTGCCATGCTAGCGTCGGCCATTTCACAAAATGGTGTCTCTAGGGAAACGTCACTTCGCAACTTAAATGGCAATTGTTTGAAACTAAATTTGAATTAATCAATGTTATGTTTGTTATTTAATTTGATATAACAAAAAATTTGATTCAAAAATTGGTAAAAAATAATACGATCTTTATTGAAATAAATGCCACATAGTTTTTTTTGTTAAATATAAAATTTTATTGACTTGTTTGTATGTAATTTCGTGTTTTTATCCGACTTATTCCCAAGTCCCCGTAGGTAGTATAAATGCCACTAAGTAACTCAGAAAGGATTCTAATCGCAGATTACGTACAAGATGTGATTGGAAAATATTTCCTCAGACTTTTTAAATTGGATTCAATTCGAGCTCCGTTTGGCTCGAATGTTGCCAGATAATGAGATCGCTAGAGATTATATATTATATTGAAACTTTGAAAAACGTTTACGTCTATAAAATACACTATATATAAGGAGAACTGATATTAATTATTATTGATTATAGTTTACAAGGAGAATTGAAGATTTTAAAAAGATTATAGTAAATAAGTATAGTCCGTTAGACTTAAGTTGATCTTTTCATTTGTGTGAATGAAAGTAAAAGTAAAGTTAGACAACAAACTTATAGAATTAAATTTTATTATATTTAAATAAATACATAACATAAGTGAGAGAGTTTTTCTAGATTAAAAATAAAATAAGCGAAACATGTAAAAGACTAAATGGAAATATTATGGGAAAAAAATATGAAGTACATAATAAAATTTTTGAAAAAACAATACAACTTTTTCTTCACTTGACATTGCGTTTTCAACATTTGAAGTTGCTACCAGTACAAAGGGTGAAGTGCGGGGCGGAGTGAAAGCAGAATAAACCGGTTCAAAACTAGAAAAGAACGCGGCTTCACACCTACACTATCCGTGTTAACTCACACAAATGTAAAGCTCAGCTTAAATCAAACGCACTATAAAATAGCTTTATAATATATATTATGTAAACATACCGCGTCCTTAATCTGATCTTCCTCTGTGGTCTCAATATCGACACTCTCGTCACTGTCTCTGTCGCTTTTAGACGAGCGCGCCGGTGATGAGCGGAGCGGGGAGCGGAGCGGAGAGCGGAGCGGGGAGCGGGATTGACGAGGTGATGTAGTCGGAGACCTGTTTATAATACGTGATTAGTTAATTCACTAACGAGAGAACATATTATAGTACATAATTGGTGAAATTAATTAATAAATTTTGATAGCTTAATTTCAAGCTTAATAGATGAGAATAAGGTTCATATTCCTTTGTGAACATATATACATAATATATTAATCCACTAGTGTCTTGTATATATTCATTTGTTTTGCAATAAAGATATTTTGAATATATTCCTTTCTAACGAATATAGTGACTTTTCTTAGATTATAGTTAAGTTATTTACTACCAGTAAAACAAAAAAACACGTAAAGTTGACAAATAAATTAAAAAACTTCCACATATATTTCAATTCATATTATTTATGAACTTATGTTATTATTATGTTAGGCTTACAATTACACCGAACAAGTTTGTTCATTACCATTGTTAAGTTATTCTACCATAATACTTTACCTGGACGGTGTAATAGAGGGCGACACTGGCGAAAGTTGTGGTGACTCAAGACGATGGGAACGAACTGGTCTGAAGGCGCGAGGTTCTTCAATACCACCTACAGTACTCAACGCTGTTAGGGCACCTAAGATTATATAAAGATTCAGTATTGGGCATCTTTATATATATAATTCTTCTGTGTGTGTGTTTGTCACTGAACTTCTCTCAAACGACTGGACCGATGATGATGAAATTTTATGTGTGTGTCCAAGGGGATCTGGGAATGGTTTAGATTAACAATTTTGTCCGCTGGACAATGTTTTTTTAATTAATTTTTAATTTATTAGCAGTTGTTGATACAAACGTTTTTTTTCTGACATTAGATTTGACAACTAACTAATATGTCAATCATTCTGTCGCACTTCAAAACACGGAGATTTTTGGCTTTAATTGGTAAACTCCAAAAATATAAATAAAAAAACGTAACAGATATTTCTTGATTATAGGGCGATACGAAGTTCGCCGGGTCTTCTAGTATAAAATATATGAGTTTTAAGGCAACTATTATTTACGTCATCCCTACTAATACTATAAATGCGAAAGTAACTCTGTCTGTCTGTCTGTTTGTTACGCTTTCACGCCTAAACCACTGAACTGATTTTAATGAAATTTGGTACAGAGATAGAGTTGAACTTGAGAAAGAACATAGGATAGTTTTTATCAAAGACTTTTGAAAGGTTCTCTTGGAAACGCGATATAACCGAATCCTACGCGGATGAAGCTGCGGAGAGAAAGCTAGTATTAAAATATAGTAAAGTATGGGCCTTATATTAGTTTTAGGTTTGTTAGTATTATTTAGATGAAACTAATGTTTTTGAATAACTACGCGTATCTTATTGTTTAATACGTTTTACAAAACGTCAGGAGTATGTAGTTTAAAATATTAAAATACGCGTAGTTGTAGTAATATGAAAATATTAGTTTCATTTAAATGAATACTCGCGATAGTTTTAGATCTCATTGTTTGTTATTGCTTTCATCTCATTATATTTGCAAATAAATTATATGGAATATAAAATCGTAATCTTTTTGTGACTAGTGACTTAGGACTTAGGGCTTGCTACTTGACCGTACTTGAGGCAATCCTGTAATGATCTCTGAATGAAAATGATATTACCTATTATAAATAAAGTGATTCCGACAGATATATCGTTGATTTCTATATAAAATCTACTAGAAAATGATCTATACTTACCAGGAGACCATAAAGTTGGTTTAAGCCATGGTATAGCATACGGTAGCGGTAGTCGCGCGCCCCACACATAGTCCGCTAGCCTCGGCACGGGCGGCGCCGGCGGACTTGAAGCCGCGCGTTTAACTTCCGGTTCCTCCCTACGAACAACGCGTCTGATGCGGAATTTAAAACCGCATAAAATTTTGCAACGATTGTTATGTTAATTGTATTTTAAGACTGAATCGTATGAGTGTTTTCGTGTTTTAATTATGTATGAACGCGATAAATTGTTATATTGGCCTGTTTGTATAAAGAATTCTGTCACCCAAGGAAATACTATAATTATTAATTAGTTACTGTCAATTGTTTGTGTTTGATAATATGTTTTTAAGAAAAAAAGTATTCAATAGAAAATGAATAACACTATTCGACCCAAAGAAAATGTGCAAAATTACATAGACCAAAAATATTGGTTACAAGTAATTTTTACGAAGAACGGAATAAACAATTCATACATTACTCTTTTAGTTACAATTCTTATTACATTATAATCCATATCTAACTTTAAATGGAAATAATATTTCATGAGAATTTTCTAAATATTGCCCTACATATACCTACATATATATAGATTAATCTTGTTCTGTATTCAACCAATTGCTTACCTAGCAGCAGACAGCATACGTTTCCTAGTCCCACCATTGAACATAGCTTTAACGTCTTCCCACGCGTGGACAACCTCAACTGGTGGACTCCCACTCAACTTCATATGCCGTCTCCAAGAATTAAAGTTAGCAGCATCAGGCTGAACATATTTATCACCAGGACCGACTCGGTGAGAGTGGAAAATGAATTTATTTGGCGAAAAAAATAGACCGCAGTAGGCGCATTTGATGCACTTCGCGCGTGAGGAATTGTACCTTAAACAAGGATATACTCATTGGTCTTCAATATAAAAGCCTTCTTATATATTATAAACTTATTGTATGAATCTAAAAATTATATTTTCTTGATTGTATTTCTAAATATTTACGTTGGCTATAATAATTAATGTAACTAATATCTTCGGATTTCTACGCGTTATATGTATAATAGCTACTATTAATTTACAAAAATTGTCATCTTGTCTGCCCGTGATCACAATTGCTGCAAAGTAACCGAAACATCGCGTCGGGAGTATATAGTTTAAATAATGAAATCATCTTCTACCTGGCAAATTCCCGGCTATAGCCAGGGTCTGCCTTACATGCTGTGAATAGTTTTGGCTAATTGTTTTTTATGACCGGCTTCCTTTCTGACATCAACCCTCTTCTGGGAATCAACATTAATCAGTGATGTCTAAATATTCTTAGAAAGTACATATGACTCGGAAAAATCACATTGGTACTTACCCCGGCCAGGATCGAACCCGCTTTTTTCGAACCCGATCTAAGTTTAAATAATGAAATAACGCGTAGCAATCCGAAAAAAAAACATTTAAAACAAATGCCTTAGATCTCATTATTTTCAATCATCTATATACGTATATGAAAGAAAGTTGTGTTAGTTACAGATTTTATTGCAGAGATGTTTTTGTTACTATATATTATATTATTATTTATAACGCTTTGAAAATTTGAGGAAACATAGCTTAGAACCAAGAGACAGACATGGGATATTTAATTCTATTCAATCGAAAAAGAAATAACTTAATAAACTCCAATATCTGGTTATTACGGCCTCCAGTTAAATAAAGTTCGCCCGGTCGGATATACATATTACTAATGCCGAAATTAACGAACGAAGTCGCGGTAAAAAACTAGTATTTTATAATCAAATATATTAAATTATTTACCTCGCTGGTAGGAAGGCTCCACGGCAGCCCCAGGCGCATTCATGATGAACAGCAAACGCGAAGTCATCTGGTAGACGAGGTGGTGCATTGTCTCCTAGAAAAGACTTGCAGAGACGCTCTGCCTCACGACGAGTAATCATACCTTAGGATATTATGTTTTATTGTATTATATATAATATATAGATACAAAAAATTACGGAGATTATTTTTAGGAAATATAGTTAGGTTAAATTTGAGTGAAGTTAATAATAATGATTATAAACTTGACTAGCTTCTTGGATAAATATGACGTGAAAATTTTACGACTCAACATTTTATATAAATAGTTTATTTCTTAAGAAAAAATAAATAAAAATATATAGATATACAGGGTGACTGGTGAATTACTATCAATATTTAAGGAGAATACTCGGTACATGATTCTCATTCGAATTATGTAAAAAAAATAGGCACTTAATTTTTGACAAAATTTCCGTATAAATAAATAAAGTGTTGACACGTTCCAAGTGTTCCAAGTGTGGACGCGTGCGGCGGCGTGCTGATACAACAACACGCCGCCAAACGCCATGTGTGAGTGTGTGTGTATACCTAATCAGTAGGGTGTTCACACGATGCGTAATTAATTACATAACTTTTGGTTAACTTTACTTAGAAGTTTATTAATATTTATGTTATATTAATTTTTATTTTGTCATATATGATCGTCAAATAACACGTCCTCAAGTATCGATAGTAATTCACCAGCCACCCTGTATAAAATATTAAAATTATCATTTCTATCTGTACATTTACATAACAAATTATATTTATGTACATATGTGTTTAATTATATTAAATTACTTCGCCTGGACAAAAAAAAATAGCAAATATACAGATATTTCTTATAAATAACACGTAATTTTCTCATTTGTAACAAAACAAATACAAAAATAGATCCGAAGAAGTTACATTAAAGGGAAAATCGATCGGGATAACATTAAGTGTGAGTAATCCGTTGAGGATTGATACAACTGAGACCTGATGTATGTTAGTCTCTACGACCATAAATACTTATACTATGACTTGGTTAAATAATATATAATATATATAACGAAAATATTGATAGTGTTGTTTAAAATCTAAATTTGGATGTATGGTTAGTGGGAATGTTTTAAAAATTTGTGACGTCAGAAAAACAGTTACATATATATATATTAGCGGATCCAGCAATCGTTGTTTTTCCATAAAATAAAGGAGTTGCATGTCAAATTAAAGTCCAAAAATTAAAAAGAAATATTTAGGGTGAACAATCCTTATCACTTAGGCGTAAAAAAATCGTCAGTAGCCGATTCTCAGACCTATATACATATAAAATTTCCTAAAAATCGGTTAAGCCGTTTCGAAGGAGTACGGTGACAAACACTGTGACATGGAAATTTTATATATTAGATATTTTGTTAGTATATAACTTCAATGCTTGTTAAGGCAAAAATTTCTCTTAAATGAAACCAATATTTTTCTGATTATACTACGAATATTTTTTATTGTAAAACTAATTACTACGTTATATGATTGTTTTTCAGACATTTTCATCTCGACTGCCCGTGATTACGTTTACTACAAACTGCAAAGTAATCGAAACATCGGGAGTATGTAGTTTTAAAAATAATAAAATACGAAATTATTAGTATCATTTAAATCAATACTCCCGAAAGTCTTAATATCATTATAAGTAGGTACTTCTCTCCTAAATTCACCTTACATTTATAATTAGTATAAAAAATACTACATTAGTCATTCTTCATCTAAGTATATTACTTACCACATCGTCTAGACGAAACAGGCATAGCACCAGCTCGCCTCAATATTTCCAACTGTACAGGAGTACATTGTACACAAGTGATACCCAAAGCCACTCTTCTGTTATGAATCTCGTTATAAGAGAACTGCTTTAACAAAGTATTGGATATCTGAGCAAGACACAGCCTCTCAATACCTTCGATGACTAAAGAAACGATAGGTACGCCATACAGAAGTACTGTACCGACCTGGAAATAAATGTATGAAGGAATTTTGTGTTAAAATATTATTATTTGTCTAACATGATGAAAGATTTTGTTTGGTATATAATGTTTGATAAAAGATGTTTTACTTAAGAATTCATCAATATTTAATTAATAATAATTCATTATTTTTAAGCTCATTGTTTATCTTAATTCTCTATATAAAATAATTATATACGCGAAATCAGAACTTTAAATGTATTTTAACATAAAATTTCTTTACAAGTCATAGTCATTTCTTGATATGACATACTTATGGTATATTCTTAATACCTACTTGGTTTGGTTTCCCTCGTGTAATTTCTAAAGCCTTATGCTCTGTGCGAGGTTTGATCGGCTCCCGCGGCGACATCGCTAGGTTTGTAGCCTCCATCCTATTTTACGATATTTTAAAAATCAAAAAAAACGATAAAATAAACAAAAATCACAACACTATTAACATGTCCATACATTTTAATTGTAATAACATCATAATACATATTTAACATACAAATCCATGCCATTTATTTATAGAATAATAATGCAGTAAAATAATATAACGCTTTATGGAACAAACCCCAAAAATCCGATCAAATTAATTGAAATATCCCAAATGAGGTGATTCATACAAAAAAATAGACGCAATAAAAGAAATGGTAATTTCTGCCGGATCATAAATCCTATGGTAACGTGTGAATCCAGTGTATCGAATATCAATTGCTATGCAAGGGTCATGAAACAGGAATAAGGGCTTGCTATGTAAACAATTTATTTTAAGTAGTAATGTTAACAGAGTAATATATTAATGTTAGACGATTATGAATTAAATTGTAGTTACATTTAAAGTTGACTTTTCAAATTGATTTACCGACGGCAAGTTAACTTTCAAGTGTACTTCATAAAGATGTATGTACAATTTAATAACATACACACACATACACACTTACACACACATACACACACAATAGTTTCATTTTTTTTCTTTAATTAAACCATCCATTTGAAGATGTAAAACATTAAACATTTGTAATGAAAACTTCGTGGTGAATCTCCTTATAGATTACATATTAATATAGCAATTAAATTTCACAAAAAAAGAACAATGAAAAAAAAACGTAATCCTTAATCTACCTACTGTTATTCAAAAAGACATTTAAAAGTTAACAAAACATGTCACTTTTATAAATCACCACTTAATACTTCTCCCCAATGTTAAAGCAACAGGGATTCATACAGGGTTGAAAAATACAAAGCAATTTTAAGTAGCCTCTTGTATGTATTACACATAATTATCGTCTATAGATGAATAAAGTTGAAATATTTTGAAAAATATTATCCTAAATGTTACTTTTATTAAGGAATCTTAAATGAAAATTAATAATAAAAGTCAAATGACTATCTAAATAAATTCTTTAACAAAAATCATTCTTACATTGTTAGCGATTCTAATTAATTATTACTTGATTTATTCATACATAGTTTATTCTTTTTCTTCTTAAAATTACATGAAGTTTAAAGTCAAGAAGATATAAAATCTTGAGTCAATAGAGCTCCCAACATAATTATTATTATTATATTTGTAATTTAATATCCCGCGACACCCCTGACCGGCATCATTAGGGGGTGTTACTAGTTAATTTGAAGCGCCCCCGACCAAAGCCCAAATTGATTACGCTAAATGGCATTACATTATAGTAATGATTGCATATGCTATGTTTCTTTACGTTCCGTTCTACATATACTGAATCAATTATATTTTTATGGGTCCATATTATAACTGAGTTTTAGTTTCATATATATATTTTTTATAGTTATTTTTCTTAATTATTTCTGTTCATATAAATAGCACATGTATTTAATTTTTTGTTTTCTATCATGTATTTCATTTCGAATAGTATATTGTTATAATTTAAATCTAGAAGAGAAAAAAAATATTGTAACAAAAAGGAGATAAATAAAAAGTATATCAAAACAAACAATATTTCACGGTACATCTGACATCGTGTAAGAGATAGTTTCACAAATCCCAGCATCCCATATGGCATGGCCCTTAGAGCGGGGTCCCTTAGACCGGGGTCCCGCAGACCGGGGTCGCTCAGACCGATACCATGTGGACCACTTGTATCGGAACTAATCGTTTTTCAAGGGATCTCTGAATATGATACGCCTTCTGGCTCATTATTGTCTTGTTTTAATTTTTGCAAAATAATTGACATATTTTTTTCACGATACACAAAACAAATTTAGTTATCGGCGATTGAAAACACATTATTTACACGCGAAACTAAACTACTAAATTTAACATAAAAGTTGTAAATTGGGCGAGAATATTATGTTTATATAATCAATAATAATTTTATATTATCTTCTATATATATAAAAATGGATTGCTGTTCCTTAGTCTCGCTAAAACTTGAGAACGGCTGAACGGATTTATCTTATCTTAGTCTTGAAATGTTCGTGGAGTTTCAGTGAAGGTTTAAAAGGTGAGAAAAATTTATTCATTTTCGGAAAAACACTAAAAACAGCCCTTTTCTATTTCCCATACAAATGTTTTCTTTGACATTAGATTTGACAACTAACTAGTATGTCAATCATTCTGTTCGATTGAAACAGGAAAAACCTAATTATTTATGGCCTCTAGGACGGAATAGAGTTCGCCCGGTCAGCTATACATTTATTACCAATGATGAAATTTACGCGGACGAAGTCACGGGCAAAAACTAGTCTATTATATAATATCAATTGACTTTGTCAGTTGAACGTCAATCCGCAAATTCCAAAACATTTCGAGACCGCAATGACAACACGATGTTCATTTCTGTTGTTAATCCGTAACTAAAGGGGACTAAAATCCCGACAAGTGTGGGGAGTATGGTATCATTGAACCTGTTTTATCGATGTTTTGAAATAGAACCATATTAAATTTGTTCTATATAGATTATTATGAAAATATAACAAGAATTATTCTAGTTATTACGTTAATATTTTCATTGTACTGTTAGTATCCTTTTAAATTTTATATCTAAAACAATATTGTATAAAATCGTTTGTTTATTTATTCTTATCTGTAACTCAATAAATTATAATCTACTCTTTTTCTTCTTTGCAAGCAAACTCTAATTACTTTTTAATTTATATTTGGCAAATATAAACCAAAACGAAAAAATAAAACATGACTTTAAAAAGTTAAAACATTAAATTATTTTTAAACATCTATTTATCGTAATAATTAGCCAAAACTATTCACAACATGCAAGGCAGACCCTGGCTAAAGCTGGGAAATTTCCAGGTAGAAGAAGAAGATTTATCGTAATAAATAAACTTCAAATATTTAATTTGTTACACATATTCTTTGTACAGGTCATTCATTGAAATGACGCTACTTTCATATTGTTTCAATCAAAAATAGTTAAATGAAATTAAGGTTTTCGAATTAAGTATATACGTTTTTTCTTATTCTATTATGATCCCGACGCGACTTATAGCAACCTTTACAGCAACCGTGATCACGGACAGACGAAATGAATGTATCTTTATCTAGTTTGTTTCATTCATTGTGAACAAAATAAATATTAGATACTAGAAGACCCGGCGAACTTCGTATCGCCCTATAATCAAGAAATATCTATTACGTTTTTTTATTTATATTTTTGGAGTTTACCTGTAAATCTCCGTGTTTTGAAGTACGACAGAATGATTGGCATATTAGTTAGTTGTCAAATCTAATGTCAAAAAAACGTTTGTATGGGAAATAGAAAAGGCTGTTTTTATGATTTTCCCAGTAATGAATCAATTTTTTTCAGCTTTTATACCTTCCCTGAACCTCCACGAACATTTATTTATTTATTTATTTATTTATGTACCAAAAAAAAAAACAAGTAACACAGAAATAAGAATAAGAAAGAAACAAAGTGATACAAAGGAAAGCTTATCTCTATGAGAGATCTCTTCCAGCCACCCTGGAGTGTGAGTAATATTATATTAAAATTACAGGAAGCTAGGTACAATTTGAATTTTAGTGACAAAGAATAATTATTACTTTTTTACTTTACATAAACATACTTAAATATACATAAGCCCGGAAGAGAATTCCAAAGTTGAGCAGCAACCACTGTAAAAGATTTTTTCTAGAAAATACCATTATAAGGGGGTATGTCAAAAACTTTATTCAAGACATTTCAAGACTAAGATAAGATAAATCCGTTCAGCTGTTCTCGAGTTTTAGCGAGACTAAGGAACAGCAATCCATTTTTATATATATAGAAGATAAGTACAAAGATATATATATTTTCATTCAAATTAATTGATTATTTAAATACCATATCAGATAATCTCAGTTCAAAAACATCTCAGAACATTTCTTTTGGTTTTCACTTTTAATAATATAAGCTTTCATTGTTAATCTCCGTTTAATAGTAAAGTAGTATTTTATAATATTTTCGCAACAAATTATGAATTAAAATTAATCTTATATATATAGTACTTAATTCTTTCTTCTTTTTCCTTTATTGTTGATTATATCAATATTCTTGTGTCCAAGAAGAAAATTTTAATGGGATTGAAAAGATTTTAATATTGAACAATCGAATAGAACGCTATATACAGCGTGTTTTTGAAACAAAGAAAAACATGAAAAAACAAGACCTAATGTTCATCTTTTAAACTAAATTCCTTTCAAATTTACCAAGAAACAGACCAAGATAAAGGCTTAAACATTTTAATATTATAATAACATGCCTATTGTATATAAAAAACATAAATTATACGTACATCCTAAAATTACACGAGTAATCACTTGTACAAACAGTTCCCGTTAATACATCCAACAATACGACAGTAGCTTCAGCTCGACGTTTAATAAATAATGTGCTCCATAGAATACCCCATTTCTAAAGCCGGCTCCGTAGAATCTTTAAACAAACGAAGCAATGCATTGAGTTACAAAATTAATTCACATTATTTACTCTACCCTGTCCGCTTAATTGGTGTCTACGAAGACGTTAATTTGTCGATTAATATTTAATAGATGCTCGTCGAAAGTTGATTTTGCTAAGATAAATAATGTTAGGGGTTCTGTTAACTCGCTGGGATGACGTTTGTCTCAGCTTTATTTCATTTCTGAATATTATATGTCTGAACTGTCTTAGATTTAATGGGTAAGTTTAATTGTCTTTTCAACTTTAGCTTGTATGAATGTCATTCAAACAGAAAATGTTATGGTAGAAGTAAAATAATTTATAAACCACGGATAGCTTTCAACATTTTTATACATAAAAAGCTAATTTCTGAGTATACATAGAATGTATTTGAGAAAACTTTTTCTATTCAATAGAATACAAAAGTAATTATTGTTAAGATTTCAGAACGTTTGATTGTTGATTATACCCTCTAATCTCGGAAATAACTAAAACTATATACACTAGTTTCCTACATATCCCTACTAATATTATAAATGTGAAAGTAACTCTGTCTGTCTGTCTGTCTGTTACGCTTTCACGCCTAAACCACTGAACTGATTTTAATGAAATTTGGTACAGAGATGGAGTTGACCTTGAGAAAGAACATAGGATAGTTTTTATCCCAGACTTTTAAAAGGTTTTCTTGGAATCGCGATATAACCGAACTCTACGGGGGCGAAGATGCGGGCGAAAAGATAGTATAATGCATATTATAAAAGTCTTCATTTCAAATTTAGAGTTCATCATTTCAATCGATTCATGATAAAAAATTAATATCTATTTAAAGAATCACTGATTAATTATTCCGAAAACAAAGCCGACTAAATCGAGGGTAGGCCTAGATTATTAATAAAATATGTATAAGCGTTAATAAAGTTTTATTCTAACTTCTGACCTAAAAATATTTTAAACGAATCCACAAAAAAAACGCTTCATTGTCACAATTCTTGAATCGCATGTTGACAGATGACGGTAGGGATTTTTCGGGACAATTGAATTTTTAACTAATACGCCATCTATTGTTCGAAAACTGAATACTTTGTTTACTCCCAACTCGAATCATTTAATTTTAATACATGAACATTATTGTACTATTCGTTTGCTTCGAATGAATTAAAATCATTTATATTCTCATATAGTAAATACTCATAATAAACCTACATTCTCAATATTTTCTTCTTCTACCTGGCAATTCCCCAGCTTTAGCCAGGGTCTGCCTTACATGTTGTAAATAGTTTTGGCTAATTGTCTTTACAACCGGCCGCCTGCCTGACATCAACCCATTAAGGGAATACATTAATCAGTGATGTCTAAATACTCTTAGAAAGTAGGTACATATGACTCGCAAAAATAACATTGGTACTTGCCAGGTCGAACCCGCGCCCTCATGCATGAGAGGCGGGCCTTTTAACCACAAGACCACCACTCTATATTCTCAATATATAGCGTTTATTTTATTTTGCTATAAATATACTTTTAATACTATACAACCTTTAATCCAGATAATTTAAATAATGCATTCAAAAAGTCGTTTCTGTCTGTCCGTAACAAGAAAGTTTAACTAAGCAGCGATAACAATTGATATAAAAATCATAAAAATGCAAATATCCTCTCAATTTACTTAGAAAAGTAATTGAATAGCTCCTACGGAATGACATCTGCTGATTTGATGAAAATTACAAGGAATCTTATTATTTGTTCCCCTCAAAAACTTGTGATGGAATGCTGTTATACAAAAATTAAATCAGTTACATATTATGTATATATAATATTATAAGAATGTTATTTAATTTGATATTAGGTATATATGTTAGTATATGTTTAGTGATTAAAAATTTAAGTAATTTTTTTTTTGACTACCCGATATTTGTACTATTTATTTTTTCTCAAGTTCTTAGTTTTAGTTCTCGTACTCGTAGAAGAATAAAATGTATTTTAATTACGTATATATGTTAGTCATATATGTTCAAAGATGAAAATTGAAGTAAATATAATTGAATATTTGATATTTGCGACATTTATTTTTTCCTATCTTCTTAGTTTTAATTCTCGTCCTTGTAAAATAATAAAATGTATTTTCAATTGGAACCAATAACTTGTTTTTTATAAGCGATTGTTGTGAATATTCTTAGACATAATACATTTCAAAGAGTAAAATTTTACAATAAACCACAAAAAAAGCCTCAAAACCACGGAAAAACAACTTAATGCTCAAAAAATAATATTTTTGTAAATTATTATTTAACCCCTTCTTGAATATGAAGCAATAAATATATTTTTTTAAACCTTTAAATGCATAATATGTGCAAGCGTGACACTTAATTGACAACTTCATCAACTCAAAAAATTCTCATATGAAACAAGCCTCTATATTAAATAAATTAATTAACATAATAATTATTTATACATATTAAATTACGATAATAATGTCATAGTAAATTTTAGTTAAAGCAAGTCTTTATTTAATTATTATAACTTAATATGAAATAAATTTTTATTATTGTAGACGCGAACGATAAAACATTTCATATTAAAAGTTTAAATCTATAATAACTCTGTTTGTACAATCTAAAACATCAATTTTAAAAGCAATCTTGTACCAATATTGAAGACGGCTTCAAGAATTGACTTCGCAAGTGATTCACATCCGACGCAGAGTTTTATATATTTGTATTGGTTTTATTAAAAAAATTAAAGTTTCTATATAACAAATATGTTAATTATAATAAATTAGTATTATATATAACTTAATTTATATAATTTTACGATCTGTTTTCATGTTTACATTGCCCATTGGTATGGTTTGCAAAAAAAATATCTAAAACTTAAACTAAATTTATATATATTTAGATATTTGTCGCTGAAGTATAAGTAGTATAAATAATTATAAGATTTCTTTCATAATAATGAAGAGGTTTTTTTTTATGTGAACGAAAGAACGATTATGGAATAGAAACAAAAATTACTTTTCATGTGACCACTACTCTGTATGTAAAAAACAACAAATGAATTTATAAATATTTAAATCAGTATGTATATATTCGCTTATAAATAAAATTTATTTAAAAACTATCAGTTATTCTTTTTTTGGAGAATCATTATTAGAAACAATTAAATGCTTCCTTATTTCACGGTTTCGGGAATAGAAATGTAATCACGAGAAAATTTTTCTTTTGTACCAAAAAGGCCCTAGGTATATATGAAACTTTTTTATCATCACTAAAATATCACTTATAACATTATACCACATGAAAAAAGACAGCGCTTACTATTTAAAATTTCGTTAATGTAAGATTTTAATTGATTAAAGTAAAAAAAAAAACTTTAAATTATAATAAAAAATAAAAGAATATAGCGGTGACAAATATAAACTATAATTTCTATGAAAAAAACAGTTTTTCATTAAAAATAATAACAAAATAACTCACAATGATGGTATACGTCTACCCTCGCTTGTTTTTCAATCACACGTCCCCGGGGAAGTCCCGGTTAAACAAAACATCATGGATATTTAACGAGAACAAGAAATTAAATCTCTTGTATCTCATTTGACTTTTGGAGCTATTGTAAATATTATTTCAATATACAGATATATATTTAGGTTTTTAAAACACTATTAAAAATATCGCAAAGAAATATATATCTTTACAGCTTACAGAAGCGCAGGTATATAAAAAAAATATGATTATGCTTATTTCTCTTAATAATTATATTAATTATAAAAAATATCTATTAAACATAATTTACGTTTTATTTTAATAAAGAAATAACAAAACACTATATACAAAAATTATAATCACTATTGTTAAATGTTAATATATTTTTTCGTAGAAATCTTTATACATAGACAAAATTATAATTTCAAGAGATGATTGAAAATTTAATTTAATAGATGAGATTTTTCTAATAACTTTTTGAACTTCTACGCTTCAGGTAATAAGACATTGCGGAATATTTTATAATTTTTTATATATTATCGGTTAATCCAATTAACAATCTCCGAAATAAATTAATTTATATAACTTAATGAAATTACGAAAATAATCAAATAAAGTATCAACAACTTTGTTTAAATTGAGATAAAATTAAAAGTAATGACATCCTTATATTCATATAAATTATATTGATCCTTTTTTAATATATAATAATATTGCTAAGATATTTTTATTAACGCCTAACTTAAATCACCAAAACTAACACAAACTCCCATTATCACGACATACACAATTAATATTAAACTTGTCATTAAAATAACACGATATTATTTTAATTCAAACCCATATTATATAAATAAATTATTATTAAAAAGCAACTAAATAAAACACTTATAAAACACAATATACATATATGTCACTCACCTGTTCGCGCCTAATATATTGAAAAACTCAGAACATTGTGTATAGGGCAACGGTCGAGTCTATACTGCCAACGTCTATCGCATACAGCCAACGTCGGAACACGCCCTAGCCGCCTTCCGTAGCCGGCTATAGCCAATCGTTGGCCGGCTATAACTGTATTTACTTTTACCGCCCGCCCTCGCCGCCCAGAGTTATCGATTGGGCGGAACAGCTTGTTTAAGGCGGGCTGGCTTAATGCTGTGATTGTATTCATTTAGGTTTGCCTTCGATTAATACATTCTGGTTCTATCATTTTGTTTTTCTATGTTCTGTGTTTTTCTTAATGATTTTATATTTTATCTTATATTTTAAGCAGAACTTTAATGTTTTCTGTAATATTAATAGTGTTTTTTATTTATTAAATAATCAAGTATAATATATGTTTTTTTATACAAGTATACACTTTTATAATTTTTAAATACTTTTTGTACTCATAGAACTCTACCTAAAATTAAATTGTTTTTGGACTTAGTTTATCAAATATTTCACTTTTATATTATGTTCATTTTTTTAGATAAATACGTTTATATAACGGTAAAAAAAAATAAAGTCGGTAAATTGTCTTATTAGTAAAGTTATTTTTATTGTTATTTTGATATACCTATATATTTTTTTATTATTTGAAGTGTTTTTCTTGGATACTATAATTTAAAATTCTTAAAAACTTTCTTTATAATCTAAAGATTTAATAACATTTTATATTTAAGGAAACAAAGATTTTTGGATATTTTTATATTTCCATAAAAAGTTGCAACTGTATCTAGAAAATTTTGGGGAAAAATATTTCACATAATAAATTATTCAACGAATAATAATTTTACTAAAAATTCTAAAATTATTAATATTTTAAACAATGAATAATAAATCTTCATATAGAATCAGTTATAAAACTAATAAAGATATAATCTTCACATATTTCCGAACGTAACACGTGAATGTCAACTTCAAATAAACTGAGATAATAAACGTCTGTGACGATTTAACCCTCAATTATGGAATTAAGCTGCGACGAAGGGTTTGAATCCCCTGCTGGTGTAGAGATTAACATTAAAATATCGATAAAAACAAATAAAAAACACTATAAATATAATGATTATTAAATAAAAATAAGTAATAAATATTTTGATCGAAATCTTTCAGTCTTAATTTATATTAAATTCCAACAATTCTATATAGATTATAATTATGAATACTTAATATAGAGGTTTCTTTTTATTTCTATCTTTCTAAGGAATATACGATAATATTTAAATTTATCGTAAAATATGTTTGTACAACATCCCATCACTAGTTCTCAATAACATAATGAAGTGTCGCTTCGTTTACAAACTGTCGATGTGTTTAAGTGATTTGGCTTTTTATTTCATTATGCTCGTATTATTATCAAATAATGGTTATATTATTTTGTATAGTATATAATATTTTTAATCAAATAATATATTTAGAAAGTTCATAAATATTAATAATTCGAATTGTCATCTTAGTAATTAGATTTCATATGTACGAGTGAATGGAAATAATAATGTAAATATTTCTATAGGATTTAAAACCAGCATCTAATCATTCGATTCTTGTAACAAAAAAACACGTGCTCTTTATATTTCAAATACCACAAAGTATGGGAAACATCCCCATCGACTTATTAAATTTAAATTTCAACCTTATCCTCCAATATTATGGTCTAAAATGCTATAACAGTCATTTGTTTAGATTTTTTTTTGCTATGATATGATCAAAATTAATCTGCCCCAACGTTAAGACACCAATTAAATGGGGATTTTTATGCGTACTTACATTTCAATAAAGAATTCATAGAGTTCATTAAGATAAAATGAAAATATACACAAAAAAATATTATTTTGCGTGTAATCGACTGTATAATATACAAATGATTAACTTATACAATAATAAAAAATATATATGTATAAGCCGTTTAATTTATACCTCTTTAAATATTTTTAATCTATTGTATAAAAATATGTACTAAGTTAAACTGACATCATTAATTTAATAATTTAGTTTATATAAATTAATTTTAACTAAATCACATCATATTTATTTTGATACTATAAAAGCTTGCCGCCATTTTGAATTCATATTTATGACATTGACATTTAATTGTATTATATTATTAAAAAAGTCATTTTTAATGCGTTTTATAATTTTCTGCCCTTAATTCAACAAAAAGGTATGTTTGGATTAATCTGATTTTTTTTCAAGCCAAAATCAGAACACACATATCTCGTCTGCCCGTGATCACGGTTGCTGAAAAATAAACGAAACGTCGGGAGTATGTAGTTTTTAAAACAATATAATACGCGTAGTAATCCGAAAATATTAGTTTCATTTTAATGAATACTCTAGAAAGTTCTCCGAAAGAAAGATCGTATGTGAACCAATATAGCTTGAAGCTTGATAGCTACAGAGTAATTAAAACGTCGAATTTATAATAAAACATAAATATTATTAATATACAAAATCGTCCAAAATTTCTTTTTATATATATAACAATTATTGTAGATTAAATATAAATGATAGAATGTCATTAATTTCTTCATAATTTAATAGAACAGATATAAGACGTAAAGTATTAAAAATAATAAAACATATTTTATCTTTTAAACCATATCAATATTTGTTGTAATTTTATTGATACAATTACCGCTATACAAAATGACGGGAGCTTAATTACTAGGGCAGAGACAAGTTTGTACTGAAACACTAAACCGTGGGTTTGGCAACTCATTTACTAATCTATTTATATTTGCTCGATATTTAATATGTGAAGTACTTAAAATGTTATTTTAATACATCATATGACAGATAAAAAGTATGGTTATATTTTTCTGCAAGCACAGATAATAAATTATATTTAAATTCATACAGAGAGCACAGATTAAAGATTATAGTTTGACAGATAAAAACTAGAATATTAAAATGTTACTCCGCAAGTAGTTTTAACTAGACAAAACCTCAGGAAAATCTCATTAACGCAACTTAGTATCTAAAATAATGTTCATATGAAATGATGTTAATAGAATTGTTATTATCATAAAATGGAGCATAAATAAGATGCTTGAAAAAATAATATTCTCAATAGAGAAATGAATCTTGTATAAAAGTAAAAACAACAAAAGCAATATTCCATAGACAACAACAACAACAATTTTTTCACGTTTTTATACGTCTGTAACGTTTTCATTCGTGGAATTCAGTCAGAACTTTATTAATTCTATACATTATACTTACGAAAATTCCACAATCAACTTATTCAATTTACCATACAGGCGTGTTGATTATAAAATAAAGGAATATCATTTAAATATATACTTAGAATAAATGGAGGCAGACATAACTAAGAGTGGGAGAGCTTTGTAACAACGGACCTCAGTTAATTGAATACCGCGCCACTACCATAGATATACGAGTCGAAAACACTTTAAACGTCAAACGAATGACAGATAATTTTGACAGTTATTTATTTTAAAACTTAATAAAAACTCTTTTGTCGAATTAACTATCGAAATTGAGAAAGTATACTTAATATCAATTTGAAATTTAGTATTTACGTTTTATTAGTAATCAATTCATGGTCACCATTTTTATGATTCTAAATAGTAATCTGTATAGAGCTATTTTTTATGAACATTTCTTTGTTATAATGTTACAATAGTAATGGTTTCAGGGATCAACGGTGCGGAAAGTTAAAACGAAAAGCTCCCCCCTCCCTCCCACCCAGACAATACCGCTGAAAATGTCGGAATTAATTAACATCACGTGCCAAAGTAATTTGTTTTTAAACATCTTAACAAGGAATTGTTTACAATTAAGTTGTTTTTTTTTTAACGAGAGCAAATCTCGAATGTGTTTAAAGGTTGTATATGATTTGGTTCACAAATAATTGATTGCTTATTAAAATTATAATTAAATATAAGTATAAAAAAATATATATTTTTATGATTTTCTCTAATAAGCAAAATAAATATGGTAACAAATTATGAATAAGTTCACATTGGCAGAATACAGTGGTTCTTTTTCATATATATGCTAGAAATTAAAAATATAACATTACATCTATCTTAGAAATAATAAGAGAACATTAACAAATAAGTTAACTTGAGTAACGTGTAGCTTGTAAAAGGTTGAACAAATGATGCCTGTGATTACTCGCAACCCGCACATATTGGAAGGGGTCTGTTGGACCGGCAAATAGCATTACTCTTGTTAAACCGATTACAGTAACAGCACAATTCAATATTCGGGATATACCAAACAAACTTGCATAGCTGTGAGGCTGTAGAGGATTTAGTTTGTTATGATGGCCTTTGAGTTCCATGACAAAAATTTTATTTTTATTTATATTATACATAAATTTAATTAGAAACATTTGATATTCCTTGATAGTTTATGAAAAATAACGATATATTATTTAAAACTGTTTACGCTGTATAAGTATGAAAAATATTAGAACGTAAAAAATAATATCATATATGTATATAAAGTAAATTTTAATACAATACAGATTTCATTAAACAGACTGACAACGTTAGACCACAATTTAACGTGTATTGTTATGTTGGTTTTGCAAAATTTTCATGTCTACATTGAATATAATTGTTGAGTTTATCTGATATAGGATTACGTTCTGGGATTATAGACGCCCGCCGACCTGCTCAAATTGAATTGTAATATTCTGCCATTATTAATAACGCTGCAGGGCTGACAGTTAGCTCGTTTCACTAAAGAGGTTCGTGTTCAAATTGTCATTTACTTTTCATATTAAATAAAAAAAAATACTGGCTGATTACAACTTATAAAAACTATTAGGAACAAAAAATTAAAAAAAAAAAAAAGTTCAATAGCTGAATCAACACCTCATTCGTGGAATATGAAAGAAAAAAATTACAATAACATCCAATTAACGGAACATTATAAATGCTTATCGTATAATCTAAATCGTCAACCCTATCGACAGAATCGGTTAAAATCACTGAAGCTTGTAATTTTTTTCCGCAAATTTTAAGCATCTCCCTCTGAATTCCGCGAATCAGCTATATTTGTACAATAACTGCCCGCCCGGGAACATTCTAACACAATAGCCTTTTTGTTTAACGACGTCTTTCTATTGCGACGCGTGCCGGGTTTTTTCAATGGGACCTATTTCACCCGGTCTGCGTTTCATATTTATTTGTAGCAATTTAGGGTTAACATAAC